ACACCAGCTGACACATCCACCAGCTGACACACACCAGCAGACACACACCAGCTGACACACTCCAGCTGACACACACCCTAGCTGACACACACCACACCAGCTGACACATTCACCAGCAGACACGCACCAGCTGACACACTCCAGCTGACACACACCAGCTGACACACACCCACCAGCTGATACACCCTAGCTGACACACACCACACCAGCTGACACACACCAGCTGACACACACCACACCAGCTGACACACACCAGCTGACACACACACACCAGCTGACACACACCACACCAGCTGACACGTCCATCCACAGCACTCACCAAACTCACAAGTCACTCAAAAACAACTCACACTCTGCCCACAAAGTCACTCAACCCTTCCCAGACTCGTACACACTCACCCGTTGCAGGCGGAGTAGGCGCGCGTTCCCAGAGGATCCGTGCTTGTTTCGGTGACAAACGCCGTTCGAACGCAACTCGTGTGGCAAGTAACAAGTGGCATGTCCGTCTGTGTGTCAATTGTTGCGGAAGCGTGACGTCAGCGCCACCAGATGCCGGTGGCCGTGGACCGCGCCTCTCGTGGCGAGCTGCGGTGTGTGTGGCAAGTTCAGTGTCTCGATCCCAACTCCACAACCCGTGCTCGGTCCGTCTCCCTCCTTGCACGCCCTCCCCCACTGGCATCAACGTCCCATCTACATTAAGCTGCACTGCGCATAGACTCGGCACTGACTAATAGACTTCAAGACTGCCCCATAGACTCAGCACTGCCCATATACTTAACACTGCCCATAGACTCAACACTGCCCATAGACTCAACACTGACCAATAGACTTGAACACTGCCCCATAGACTCAACACTGCCCCATAGACTCAACACTGCCCATAGACTCAACACTGCCCATAGACTCAGCACTGCCCAGAGACTCAACACTGCACCATAGACTCAACACTGCCCATATACTCAGCACTGCCCATAGACTCAGCACTGCCCATAGACTCAACACTACCCATAGACTCACCACTGCCCATAGACTCAGCACTGCCCATAGACTCAACACTGCCCATAGACTCAACACTGCCCAGAGACTCAGCACTGCCCAGAGACTCAGCACTGCCCAGAGACTCAACACTGCCCAGAGACTCAGCACTGCCCATATACTCAACACTGTTCTTAGACTCACCACTGCCCATAGACTCAGCACTGCCCATAGACTCAGCACTGCCCATAGACTCAGCACTGCCCATAGACTCAACACTGCCCATAGACTCAACACTGACCAATAGACTTGAACACTGCCCCATAGACTCAACACTGCCCATAGACTCAACACTGACCAATAGACTTGAACACTGCCCCATAGACTCAACACTGCCCCATAGACTCAACAGTCAACACTGCCCAGAGACTCAACACTGTTCTTAGACTCAGCACTGCCCCTGTAGATGAAGAAGTCCCCCTCCTTAACCCTCACCCGTTCCTCTCTCTCAAAGCCTCACCTCTTCTCTATCGCCCATTCTCTTCATCTTCCCTCTCCTCGTCCCTCCACTCCTTCCCGTCCCTTCCCTGCAGCCCTTACCTGAGCCCTAGGTTTCACTGTACCCTCTTAGTGATGCCACTCAATCCTCAAGCCTTGCACGCCCCTGCCATTTTATTCATTCGATTCTGTCACCGGGTTTTTAAGTTTGTCAAACGCCCTGAGTGAAGGCGCTCTAATGAAATGTAAACATAAAATTTGATTTAAATAGCCACGTGGCTTCCACCTTCTCCATTCTCTCTACCCCCACCCCTCCGCTTTATTATCATAAACTCCTTCTTCCCTTCAGCTCCTCCAGCATCCACACACTTGGCCCTTCCTCTCGTTCTTTTCCCTTCCATTCTTCATTCTCTAACGTAATTCGTCAGCATCATCACCGTTAACATCGCCACTGGGGAGACAAAGGCGACCGGGCGTGGTGTTGGCCACCCACCCCCTCGTGTGCCGTGCCGGCCTTCACAGGTGCTACTGAGCTACTCGCTAACAGCACTTGCCCCAACAGTCTGTTCAGGCTATACGGATGAACGGTGTCTTTGTGTAACCATAACCCTGCAGTCATCAGCAGGGTTTCTTCTCGCCTGTCAAAATGAGGCATCTGTTTGCCTTTTCGTTTACACGATAAGCCACTTCGTTGAGCTATCATTTGTGGCCAGGTAGCTTTCGAAAAAGATGCTAATAGCTCACTGAGCTTTACTCAAGATTGAAGATGAAACATTGTTTATCTTCTTGGTTCTTTCGGTAAAGTCACGTAGAAGGGAAATAATAAAATAATAAAAATAAAACATAATAAAATACAATTCTCACGACGTTTCGGCCACAACGCAAGCAGCCGTCCGCTGTCTTTCCGACAGCCCTGTTCTTCGCCTGAGGACGGCTGCTTGCGTTGTGGCCGAAACGTCGTGAGAATTGTATTTTATTATGTTTTATTTTTATTATTTTATTATTTCCCTTCTACGTGACTTTACCGAAAGAACCAAGAAGACGAATCCCTGCAGTCACGAAAGCTTTAAATCGAAACATTGTTAAGTTTTATTTGTATATTTATTTTAAGTGGCTTGTTTACCTTTCCTATACTTTGCACTCCTATCGTGCTTTTGTTTTGTTTGATATTGTAACGTTGTCACCCGCTCCTACTGGACATGTGTGAAAAAGAGCTTTATAGCGCATCGGATTCCTCCAGTAACTATCAACATTCTGATTCTGGGGACACGTGGTGCAAACAGTTGCTCTTGGCTGAAAGCCGCACGGTGTCCTCTGTCTGCCGACCTCTGACCCTGCCAGTCACAGCCGAAGGTGCGACTGCATAGTCAAATAAGTAATATTTAAATACACTTTTAAAAACACGCTTTTATGAAATGTACTAGTAATGGCATAACTCCACGACTCTAGGAAGTGGCCCCCGAGGCTTGCCACAACGTAAGGGGCCGTGGCCAATTACAGCCAACGTCAGTTGACCATGGACAATTTGACCCAAGCCGAAACATAACATATAAAAAAGATCGTTTAAAAATATTTTTTTAATTATTATGATAGAATATAGTATTGGCATCAGTATGACGTGAGTATACCAAGTTTGCAGCCGATACCACATTGGGAAGTGGGTTAAAATTTAGTTACAAGATTTGAGGATACAACAACGACAACAACAACAAAATGAGTTAAATAAAAGCGTGTAATAAAAAAGAATGTTTTAAAATATATATAAGATAGTATTGTCATCAGTATGACATAAGTATACCAAGTTTGCAGCCGATACCTCATTGGGAAATGGGTTAAAATTTAGTTACAAGATTTGAGGATACAACAACGACAACAACAACAATGACAACAGACAGAGTGAGTTAAATGAAAGCGTGTAAAGAAAAAAAAGAGACAAACTGGAAAATGCACCGTGAAATTGTCCGGCCCACACAGTTCCCCGTCCAGGGCTCCACAGCCGTGTTGACACTGCCCCCTCGTGTCTGGAGTGGGCCTTGGAGGCTCACCGGGGGTTCGAAAGTCCACACAACAGGCGAAGCCAGGGGTCCAGCAACAAGTCAAAGAAAAAGACGAAGTACTTCTTCGTTTTCTTGGTTCTTTCGGTAAAGTCACGTAGAAGGGAAATAATAAAATAAAATAAAACATAATAAAATCCAATTCTCACGACGTTTCGGCCACAACGCAAGCAGCCGTCCTCAGGTGAACAACAGGTCTGTCGGAAAGACAGCGTCCGACAGACCTGTTCTTCACCTGAGGACGGCTGCTTGCGTTGTGGCCGAAACGTCGTGAGAATTATTTTATTATGTTTTATTTTTATTATTTTATCATTTCCCTTCTACGTGACTTTACCGAAAGAACCAAGAAGATGAATCCCTGCAGTCACGAAAGCTTTCAATCGAAATGTAATACTTCTTCGTTGTCTTCGAACAAAATAGTTCGAGAGCCGCATCACTCGCAGAACTACTTGCACACAAACACAGCAGGTGTACGGCGGATGATAAATAAATTCTGACTTAAATGAACAAAATAGGTGATGGAATAAACTGCGTCTATTTAATTCCCCCCCCCCTTAGTTATTCTTTAACAACTAGCCTTTTGCCCGTTCGAGGACGGAAGCTGTAATATTTAGGAAAAAATTGAGCAGAGTATAATTGTTTCTTGTGTAAATTTAATGGCAGTGAATCTTGCACGAAAGTATGTCATCAAACACTTCACTTCATGCCACTGTAGCACTGTACATAACTGACCTTCGATTTGTTCAAATTCACTGCTCTGATACTTTAGTCTTCTGCTTTCGGTCGCTGGGGTTAAAACTAATTGGAAATCGATACAATATCTGGGAAATCACCGAGAAATGTCTATTTTACCATAATGTAGAAGCATAAATTAGACTTACCTTTCGTCTCAAGTGCTGGAGGGCCAATTCGTCACTAGCCCAGCAAGCCACAACATTTCCAATCCGAGCACGACGTTTCGCCAGTATAAAACAAAAAACATCTCTTGATTTAAAGCTTTCGTGACTGCAGGGATTCATATTCTTGGTTCTTTCGGTAAAGTCACATAGAAGGGAAATAATAAAATAATACAAATATAAAACAAAAAAATTCTCACGACGTTTCGACTGCAACACAAGCAATCATCATCATCAGGTGTGAAATCCACAGCAAGAAATTTGAAAAATGTTCTTGTATTATTTTAAAATTAGAAAATGTTCTTGTATTATTTTAAAATTTGAAAAAATTTCTTGTATTATTTAAAAATGAGAAAATTAGAAAAAATGCTTGTATTTAATTTTTTTGTATTATTTTAAAATTAGAAAATTATAAACATTTCTTGTATTATTTAAAAAGTAGAAACTTTTCTTGTATTACTTTATTATTTCCCTTCTACGTAACTTTACCGAAAGAACCAATTATATTAAAAAAAACACCTGCTCTTGCCTGCAGTCCTCCCCGTGGTTGCCTCTGTCTGCTGCCGACCTCTCACCCAGTCAAACCACGCGGCCTGCGCGCTTCGTGCTGACGACGTTGCAGACATCGCGAGCCTCTGAAACGTAAAACTTTGTGGTTGTTGTTGTTTAATGTGCACAACTCTTGCCCCGCCACGCGACAAACGACGCGCTTGTTACGTGACGATAACGCCACTACAGTATTCTTTACAAGATAAACACAATGTTGTGACGGCTGGTAATGCAACGAGTGGCAATGCTAACAACCGTAGGAAGCAAATAATAAATAATTGCTTTGTAACTCGATTTAAAAGCTTTCGTCACTGCAGGAATCCATACTCTTTGGTTCTTTCGCTAAAGTTATTTGTTTGCCCTGATCCGAGCCTGGGTTGAGCCTGAGCACTGAGTTGGATGGGCGACCCCATCGCTGTGCATAACAGGTGCTATAGGTGCTGTGGGCAGTCGTCCCTCGCTGCCGTGCCGCACACGTGGTCGACCCGCGTGGTGAAGTATGGTCAACGTACGGCTCGGCCCCCCATACGGCGTGGAGAGAGACGCAAGATTGTACACCCACAGCAACAGCTGTAAGGGCGGGCCGTCCATAAATGACGTCACGCACTTAGTAGGGGAGGGGTGAGAAATGTGACGTCACATCAAAATGCGCAACTTTAAATGAATATAGACAACACGTTCTACTTAATTAAATATACTTTTTAATAAATGTTTTCTCCTACAACATCAGAGTGCAGCGCCACATTAAATACGCACTACAATGACAAGAGTTTAAAGCGATTTGAAGCATGTTTTATTTTGGGGGGGGGGGGGCAGAGCTTTGTGACGTCATACTTGAGAGGGGGGGGGGGTCTGACTTTTTGTGACGCCGTGTGACGAGGGGGGGGGGGGTTGTCAAAAATCGTCCAAAATCGCATGACGTCATTTATGGACGGGCACCCTATGGCTGTATGGCAGTGGTCACCTGCCCCACAGACGGTCGAGAGTCATTGCCGGGGGCTTGCGGGTGGCTCTGCGGAGGCAGCAGCTGGGGTTGATGGATTACTCCTCGAACTCTTCATAATTAAAGGTTGTTGGGTGAGATCGCGTTATTTATAAATGTGTCGCAACCCTCCACCACCCGACACGGCCAATCAGTAAAACAAGTATAACCCGTAAAAACAAAGTTTTTCACTATAAATACTTTACAGTGATACCTCGGTTCACGAACTTAATTCGTGAAATGACTCTGGTCGTGAACCGAATTGGTCGTGAACCGAGGCACATTTTCCCATAGGGTTCAATGTAAATCCGGTTAATCCGTTCTGACCTTTTTTTTGGTTTTTGAAGCACAAAAATATGAAACAAATGACAATACACATTACTGTAGTGCTGTACAGTATAGTAATGTATAAAGAGAGAACACTAACCTTGCTTGAGATGACTTCTGGCATGGAGGAAGGCAGGTGGGAGGCGGGTGGGAGGCGGTTATTGTTTGGAGGGAGAGTCCCCCTCCATAAGGACATCAGGGGGATCTCCTTCAGGGGTTTCCTCTCTCCTTTGTCTCCTAGCTGCAGGCTCAGTTTTGCTGAAAAATCTGTCCAATGTCACTTGTCTCTTCCTGCGCTGCATAACCCTCCGGAAATGAGAGACCATTAAGATTTAACACTCTGTTCGTGACAGCTATGTTGGGGTGGTGCTTTTCAAAAAAGTCATGGCACTCATTCCATTTTTGCATAATGGATTTTATGGCATCACTGCTAACCTCCCTTTCTTCCTCTTCCTCAGTGGAATGCTCCTCAAGAAGTGCCTTCTGTTGCTCACTGTGGAGTTCAGAAAGTTATTTCGTGGTCAGCTCCTCCCTATGTTCCTCAACAAGCTCTTCCACATCAGCACAATCAACGTCCAGACCCATACTCTTGCCCATGGACACACTTTCCTCCACTACCTCTGCATCAGACCCTTCTAAGTCATGTTCACGTTCAGTGACACATTCTGGCCACAGTTTCCTCCAGGCTGAATTTAGGGTTCGGGGAGTGACCTCTTCCCAGGCTTTGTCAATGAGGTTAATGCAGTGGACAACATTGCAATGTTTCTTCCAGAAGTCTTTCAAAATCAAGGACGTCTCTTCAGTGACATTAAAACACCTAGTGAAGAGCGCCTTTGTGTAAAAATGGGCGCGGCTCCTGTTCGTGAACCGAAGCGGAGTTCGTGAACCGAAGCATATTTTTATGAAATTTTCTGGTCGTGAACCGAGTTGTTCGTGAACCGAAGCGTTCGTGAACCGAGGTATCACTGTATATGCGTGGCGGCTAGAGTCCTCTCGTCCTCTGGCGTGAGATGGCTGCCACCTATGGGTCAGATGATTGCATTGCACCATTAAGCAATTGGTAATTAAATATAATATTTTTGTCCAAAAAATTGTGTAAAATTTTGGGAAAATTTTTTCACGGACATTAATTGTCACGCACAACGAGTCTGTGTGGAAAATGTCCGCTCGATTGGATCACGGGAAGTGGGTTAAAAAACGACCGAAAGATTTGCACGGTCGTAAGCAAGCAAGCGAACTTAATATAAAGGATTTAAAAAGTGTCACGTTGACAAAAGACAAAAAAAATTAGATTTAAAGCTTTCGTGACTGCAGGGATTCATCTTCTTGGTTCTTTCGGTAAAGTCACGTAGAAGGGAAATAAAATAATAAAAATAAAACATAATAAAATAATTCTCACGACGTTTCGGCCACAACGCAAGCAGCCGTCCTCAGGTGAGGACGGCTGCTTGCGTCGTGAGAATTATTTTATTATGTTTTATTTTTATTATTTTATTATTTCCCTTCTACGTGACTTTACCGAAAGAACCAAGAAGAAAAAAGACAAAATAGTTCACTACTTTAGCCCACCGGTGTGTTGAAGAGTGGATTCACAACATTTACAATTGGAGTTCGACGTTTCGCTGGAAATTACATCCAGCATCTTCAGGCGATTTGCCGGAATAGTGAAACCATCCACCTGCTTCAGGTCTTAAATAGTGCAGGACCACGTCATCGTTGTTGAACCCCATCTGGATTCGAGATCAGAAGGCGGGGGTGTATGCAATTATGTAATAGATCAGTAATCAGCCACTTAGCATGTGACTCACCTGTAAGGAATTAAAATGTGTGTTGTGCTTTAAATTTCGATTTAAAGCTTTCGTGACTGCAGAGATTCATATTCTTGGTTCTTTCGGTAAAGTCACGTAGAAGGGAAATAATAAAATAATACAAATTAAACAATACAATTCTAACGACGTTTCGATTGCAACACAAGCAATCATCATCAGGTGTGAAAACCACAGCAAGAAAAAAAAACACAAAAAGAAAATGTGCTTGCTGTGGATTTCACACCTGATGATGATTGCTTGTGTTGCAATCGAAACGTCGTGAGAATTTATTGTTTATTTTTATTATTTTATTATTTCCCTTCTACGTGACTTTACCGAAAGAACCAATATGTTGTGCTTTACTTAATAATACGCTTCCAGGCTGCGCTGACTCTATAGCTATTACAGCAGGTTAAAATTAATTGAATTCTCAATTTCAGTTAATTCTCTAACTAATCTTGGCCAGTAATAATTAGTTCTACATAACACTTCAACGTTATCAAAATCAATTGAATGTCCTGTTGGCAAGCATGCTCTGCCAATGCTGACAGCTGTGTTAGGGAGAATTTAATGTTCCTTTGGTGTTCTTTTAGTCTTACGCTGTGAACTTCCTGTAAGCCACACCGTAGCTCTCCAGGAGAAGGCAGTACAGGACCCTCCTCTACTTACGAACTTTCAGAGATACGAACGGACTCGTCCGTATGTCCAATTGCAGCTGTTCCGATCGAGAGTCGTAAGTTCATCCGCCGCGCAAATAGATGGCGGAGGTGACATCTACATCTGCAGAACGTGAAGAACCAGTGGCATCGACATATGCAGAACATAAAGAACCAGTGGCATCTACAGGAGATTATGCAACTTTTAAAGCCGTTCACCGTGTTCAGTGTACGCGCCGTGCAGCGTGTTTGGAATCGACAGGAGTAAAGTTGGACTTAGGAACACATCGACTGACGAACAGACCTCTGCAACTTAACTCGTTCTGTGCAAAGCCCACGTCTCCACATGTCCCTTCCGTACGGGGTAGAGTTTTGCTCCCACGCACGCGTGCGGTTTTCTCCCAAGTGTTTCCGATTTCTTCCCACATGTAAGCACTCATTAATTGGCAGATAACACCTTGGTATATAGAGGACTGCAGAGCTTGGGCAGTTGATTAATACGAGATGTCTTTATTTGTATGACTGTTTCCCTATGTACAGGGTGCTTAAAAAAAAAGGTAAACACTTATATGCGACTATTGTTTTTTAATGGAAAAAGAACGGATAATACACTGTAACATGATAACAAATGTGACGTTAATAGCTTCGAAAAGTGAAAGAGTCTCGACTTGTTCGCCATAATTGTCAACACATGCCTGGAATCTTCTCCAGGTGGTCTCCAGAGCCCGGAGGCACATTTTTTGTGGTATTGTTGCAAATTCTGAGAAGTGTTAAACATTTTTTGAAGCACGATGTATATATAATAAATATGCCCACTGTATCGCATATTGAAATGCTGCGTTTAGGCGTGATATAACTCCACAGCGTATGTGACCGAAACATCCAGAATGCGCCTGATCTCATAAGCTCAGCAGGTGTAAGCCTGGACAATGCTTGAATGGTTGATAGCCGCTCGTAAAGAGGTGTTGCAGTCTGCTGCAGGGCTACGTTTGTCAGAAGGGGGCCAGTGCAGAGACGTCTGTTGCCCTCTACTCCGGCGTCTACGCCTCCCCCGCATTCACCAAACTGTACCGACCGACCGTCAAACACGCCGGTCAAATAACACCCCCCCCACCCTCCCCAACGACCCATATCTCGTGGGTGTCATCCAGCGGTGGCTTGACAAAAAGACCGTACCGTACAAGTACACATACACAAATCCAATTTGTAAAATGTATCCACTTATTTCTAGATTTGAAGCTTTCGTGACTGTCCCACCTGATGACGGAGACTTGTGTTGCCTCCGAAACGTCGTGATTTATTATTTTATTTTTATTATTTTATTAACTTTTAATTAATTTTTTTTTACCTACGTGACTTTACCGAAAAACCTAACAGTATGTATCCACTTATGTCAAGCGGGAGACCAATTGTGCTCCTTGTTTCCTCCACCCCCACCGATCAGGATGTTCGGCTGGAACTCTCTGAGCCTCTGGCGAAGTCCCCGCCTGCGCTCGCTGCTGCCCTTGTCGCCGCTGGCACCGCGCGCCACGCGACTCGAGGGCTCGCGATGGAGCCACGGCGCCGGCGACGTGAGAGCCGTCATTTTCGACATGGGAGGAGTGATCCTGCCGTCGCCGTACCCGCCCATACAAGGTGCGCGCCTGCGCCGCGTCGTTACGGAAGGCGCGGAACCTTGTCCTGACTGAGGGGCCCGGCAGGACAAGGGTCGCTGGTATTTATGGGGCACTTAACCCTTTCGCGTTCCGAGATGACTGCAAGTTGCAGGGTGGGTCGTCCCGCTCGCCGCCGAATTTCGGAACGAGCGAGCGGTTCAGCGGGAATTTTATTTAGAGAGGCGTAGCGCCGTTGTTTTTAAAGACATTGTACTCACCGCAGAGAACTGTAGCGACACGGCCACACTCATTTTTTGCTGGCGCCAAACTGTACCGCATGCCCTCCCGCATGGCCTTGTGGGAGCCTCGGTACTGGTGATGTACACGTACTGACACGTACGTCATTGGAACAGGAAAGGGTTAAATGCGTCCGAAACTCGAAGCACCTTGCATCACGTCCCACCTCGATAATTCCGATGCCCAGCTTAAGTCTAGCAGTGCAAGGTGGGCTCGCTGTGATATCGTTTTGCATGATGCGATATTCAATGTCACGATGTGATGATCTTCACAATGTCGCTTTCCCATAACTTAGTAATTGCATTTCACATTTTTGTCGTGTTGTTTTTGTTTCTTTGATGTACTTCCAGTGTGACTAAGAATTGCTTACAAGTTCTTCAACTGAAGTTTGCTCGGCACGAGTCTACCATAAGTCATTGTTGCATCTTCACAATCTATAACGCTTATAATACACATGCTGTCAGAAAGTTCTGACATCGTATAATCACCAAACGTCAGTGGGGATAGGTCGCCTACTGCTTAGCACACCGCGCTCTGAAACCGGCAACTTGAGTTTGATTCCCAATCACGGCCAACATCAGTGACGGATATTTGAACTGGGCCTGGGTCTCCCCTTGTTTGACTCAAACTCATGACTGGTGCAGTGGGAAACATACTGCCGCATTGGGGAGACAAAGGCAGCCAGACTGTGGTGCTCGCCTCACTCCCACCCCCCCCCCCCACCTCGTGCGCCGTGACAACCTTTAATAGGTGCCCACTAGCAGCGTTTGCCCCATCAATCCGTAATGCTACAGAGTGGTCGTGCATGTTGTGTGTGTGTCTGCGCTGGTTTAATACATTCCGGCTGCTCTGCCTACGATCCATCCTGGTTTTGACCATGCTTGATTTGTGCGAGGAGCTCGCAGATCTTTGAAATAGTAGGGGGTAGTCCCATCGATGAGCTTCTCCGGCAGCCGAGGGTACATTGGCTGAGTCATGTAGTCTGCATGCCCAGCCACCGCATGTCCAAGCAGCTTCTGTTTGGCCCGATAGAGGGGGCTAAATGGGCACGGCATGGGCTCGAGAAGAGAGGGACTAATGTGGTACGGGAGAATGTTGGGCTGAGTGGACTTGCAGATGACTGGTACCAGCGGTGTTAAGATCGGCCTCTGTTGAGGAGGCTCGTGTAGGACGCTACTGGGCAGTTGGAGGTAGTTTCACTCCAGCAACACGGGAGGTTCAGAGGAGTTACACTCGGAACAATGAGCTGAGCACCGGGCGGCTAAAATGCAGCAAGTTGACTGCATCTGTCAGTTACCTCCGTCCATCAACACATGGCACCTGGCTCTGTCCCGTGACCTCCAGTCAGCAGCGAGCCTTCGACACGTCACGTGGCGGCATAAAAGTGAACCTAACATGGCACAGGCTCCAGGCGGTGACGTCACCGCCACTTAGTGCTCAACAGCGGTCGTCGTTACTATCGCTGCCGTCGCCGTCGTGGTGCATGCGTGTGCATATACGTGCGTTGAACTTCTTCCGCAGCGCACGTAGCCAGCCGTGCTAACCGGAGGTGCGTGTGGTGCGTAGAGTGGGAGGCGGCGTGCGGGCTGCCGGGCGGCACGGTGCTGCGCGTGCTGCGTGACGGCGGCGAGGCGAACGCGTGGTGCCGCTACCAGCGTGGGGAGATGTCGCCCGAGACGTTTGACGAGCTCTTCGGCGCCGACTGCTCCAGAATCGTACGCAGCGCCGAGCGCGATCGCCGTCCACGGACGCCGGTCGTACAGTCAACCTGCGATTCAAAGTCACGTGATTTGCTGCTCGAAATAAGCACCAAGGTGGTGCTCATTGCGAGTGCTCGGTTCCTCTCTGCAGCTCTTGAGCGAGCGGGGGAAACCCCCAATCCCTATGACGGGAGGCGAGTCTTCCCCTAAAGGACAACCGCCGTTAACTTCCCCACGCTGTGGTGCTCGTTTTAGTCGACCCCAGCAGGATGGATGAGAGCCCCGAGTCAACCCCCAAGCAGGATTTTAATTTGCACTCCTTTCGATTGCGAGCGGCTCGCCGTACCGCTGAGCCACCCGGCGGGCAATTCTTGATTAGCCGGAGTGATGGGGGGCAAGAGTGGAGCAGACGAAATGAAAACACGGATAATACAAAACCCATTTTTGGTCCGGGCGGTGGTGGGAGGCACTCATCCAGCAGTGAATCGAGAGCACAGGATGCACATGCACAACAACAGCAGCTGTCAGGCTGTGACAGTGGTAACGTAACCCCAAATGTGATCAAATATTTAAAACAATAACACGATAATAATAGTGGTTACAAACACACCGACACAATAACAACACACGTGCATAGCCACCACAGCCATAGGGCTGGACGTGGCCTGTAATCCAAGCACAGAGGGTTGGTGGATTGCACGAATGTTGTGATACTCCCTTCCCGTAGGCGTCAAGCAGGTGTCCTACCCCGGGCCCACCAGTAGAATGCAGTAGAGCATGAATGTGGACTCCACCTGTTCCTTCCGTATGGGATCAGAGTGTTTCCCCCTCGCACGCGTGGCATCTTCTCCATGTGCTGCTGTTTCCTCCCGCGTGTAAACACTCATTAACGAGCGAATAAATGCCTGAGTACCTGGAGGGCTGCAGAGCTTGGAAAATCGTTGGGGCCGGCTGACGGCGTGGCTGCCTTTTCCCCGCTCGCCTGGCCTGAGGTGGATTGGACCGCGGCCGACGCCGACGAATTGAAAGCCGCTGTCGTTTGTGTGTTCACCGCGGGGGAGCAGGCGGGGCGTGCGGTGAGCGTGGACGGCTTCGTGGCACACCTGGTGGGGCAGCTCGCCACGCCGTTGCCCGGCGCGCTCGCCGCGCTGAGGGGAGTGCGCGAGCGCGGCGTCAAGACGGCGCTGCTCACCAACAACTTCTACGTCCGCGGCGGCGCCACGTTCCTGCCGCTGGACCGCGCCCTCTTCGACGTGGTCAGCGCGGCGCCTCCCAACATGCCGCCGTCGGTTATTGCAGATGTGTTCGCTAAAGTCGTCTGCCCTGCTGGCTTGTGTTTGATGCAAATGCAAAAATGCATGGATTTGTTCTACTTTACGCTAGTAAATTTCGATTTAAAGCTTTCGTGACTGCAAGGATTCATCTTCTTGGTTCTTTCGGTAAAGTCACGTAGAAGGGAAATAATAAAATAATAATAATTAAACATAATAAAAGAATTCTCACGACATTTCGGCCACAACGCAAGCAGCCGTCCTCAGGTGAAGAACAGGTCTGTCGGAAAGACGCTTTACCGAAAGAACCAAGAAGATTTACGCTAGTAATCAAAGCAAACGAGATTGTACGGATGCGACAGTAAGGGGGGTTGCGTTCAATGGGCAGAGCGCTCCAGAGCGCTTTTCTGTTGAACGACCTGGACAGGAGCCCAGCCAGCAGCCAGCAGGAAACCCAAAGCGTAGATTATTTTTAACAGCAGTGTGACAGTTTAATATGTGGCCACTTGGCGTTTGGTCTCATCGTGAGGTAGGTGGTGGAGTCGTGCGTGGTCGGGATGAAGAAGCCGGACCCCAGGATCTACTCGCTCTGCTTGGAGGAGCTCGGGGTTCCTCCGAGCGGCGCCGTCTTTCTCGACGACCTCGGAGAAAACTTAGCACCGGCTCGGGCCCTGGGCCTTCGCACCATCAAGGTGCGATCCTCCCCCCACGGCCACTGCACGAGCCTTGAACGACGACGGTGACGACGACAAACGACACAACGTAGCCACGACGGAAAAGTCCCACCGCGTAGGCGTTCCCGGTCGTGCCGCGCGGCTCTCCGATGGTGGCCTAGGGTCGTGTCGCGTCACGGCCTAGCGCAGGAAGGGCTACGCCTGATAAGCGCGGCAAACGAGGCGTGGTGGAACGCACGTCGGGTGTAACATCGAGACGCGGAAGGAGGAGCAACGTGCGTTCGGTGAACAAAGGCACAATGTTAGAGACATCACGTTGACCGCTGAAAAGTCGGATTGGGGTAGGGCACGTCGCTGAATGGGGTGGAGAGCCAGTGGTCGGGAAGAACGACGGAGTGGCAGCTAAAGGAGGGAGCACGCAGAGGTGGAACAACGAAACCGGCTCGTTTGGCAGGCGCCGGCGTGGATCGTTTCATCGCAGGACCGTGAGAGATGGCGAAAGGCTTGAGGAGGCCTTCATCCAGCAGTGGATTGATTGCGGCCGACGATTATGATAGTGACCGCGACGACAATGATGGCTTAGCGAAATGTAAACTCCCTCGCCTGTTATACAGGAGGTCGTGGTTTTGATTTTGACCCTGACGCCTGTTGTATATTTGGAGTTAGCGTCCCTCCACATTTAGAATCAATGCGTGTTTATAGGTTTGGCTGCTCTACATTTCCACGTGATAAGCCACGTCGTTGGGCTTTCATTTGTGGCCACGTCGCGTGGATTTTTTTCTGGGTCCTCCAGTTTCTCCCTCCACATTTAGAATCCACATGTGTCTAGGGTATTTGGCTGCTGTACATTTCCTCACGATAAGTCACTTCCTTGAGCTGTCATTTGTGGCCAGGTCCCTTCTGAAAAAGAGTTCTATATCCCAGTGGGCCTTACCTGGTAAAATAAAAATTGCTCCAATGGTTTAGTTGAGATCTGATGAGAACGCGTGTGCCCCTCCGAATGATACCAATTGGGAGGATTTTGTCTCCCTTGCAGGTGGGGGACCTCAAGGTGGCACTGGCGGAGTTGGAGTCCCTGCTGGGCTTCTCGCTGTCCCACGGCGCCCCGGACACCGGCGCCGTGCGCGCCGGCCTGGAGATTGACGAGCGGGCGCTGGCTGCCTACCTGCGCACGGCACTGGGGCTGCACGCCGGTGAGCGGGAAATAATAACGCCGTGCACGAATGATGTTTACGCTTTTACTTTGTTTCATTGACACGTCCGACGTTCAAGCAGGTCGCAACGCGTCCTCGTGCACGGAGCTCATCTTTGGTGTTTTTACAGGCAGAGCCGGCCCAGCCACTAAGCGACCCTTGCAATTGCAAAGGGCCCCGTGGCCAGCAGAGGGCCCCCTAGAGTCACTGCTAGCTAGTGGGTGAAAAAAATCATACACCAAAGAGGCCTCCTACCAAATTTTGCTTAGGGCCCCCAAAGGTCTAGGGCCGGTTCTGTTTACAGGGTTGGCTGTTCCTTTGTTAAAAGAATCTGTTACGTGTCCGATATCTCCCTATTTCCAGTGGTCTCCCCCCGTGCGTGCGTGCGTCACGCTCTTCCTGCACAGCGACGGCTTGAGACGCTACATCCACATCGCTTTGTTGCATTGCACCTTGGCGTCGTGTACGATCGGGAAAGCCGATCCAGCGGTCACGATCGTGCCTCTTGCTGCCTAGAACTCGCCTGTTTTGTGCAACAGTGGTATTCGTACTCTTTAAAGCGGCGAGAAAAATCGAGTGATTTAGTTGGCGAGGGCGTGCAAGGGCTTGCCCCGACTGAACATCTGTGAAAAATCGATTTATAGCTCATTGGATTCTTTCAGTGTAAATAAATATGATTCTGATATTCTGAATGAGTGACGATAACAGTGGGCACGTGGGGGTGACGAAAGGGCAGGGGAGGGACGGGAAGAAGCGGAGGGACGAGAGGGGAAGGAGGAGGGGGTAGAGGTTGGGCGAGGTGAGGCTCTGAGAGAGGAACGAAAGGAGGTTAAGGAGGGGGAGTGTTGAGTCTCTGGGCAGTGCTGACTCTATGGGCAATGTTAATGGGTAGTGTGAGTCTGTGGGCAGTGCTGAGTATGGGCAGTGCTGAGTCTGTGGTGCAGCGTTGAGTCTATGGTCTGTGTTGAGTCTGTGGTGTGTGTTGAGTCTATGGTGTGTGTTGAGTCTATGGTGTGTGCTGAGTCTGTGGTGCAACGTTGAGTCTATGGTGTGTGTTGAGTCTATGGTGTGTGTTGAGTCTGTGGTGTGTGTTGAGTCTGTGGTGTGTGTTGAGTCTATGGTGTGTGTTGAGTCTGTGGTGTGTGTTGAGTCTGTGGTGTGTGTGAGTCTATGGTGTGTGTGAGTCTATGGTGTGTGTTGAGTCTATGGAGTGTGTTGAGTTTATGGTGTGTGTTGAGTCTATGGTGTGTGTTGAGTCTATGGTGTGTGTTGAGTCTATGGTGTGTGTTGAGTCTATGGTTTGTGTTGAGTCTATGGTGTGTGTTGAGTCTATGGTGTGTGTTGAGTCTATGGTGTGTGTTGAGTCTATGGAGTGTGTTGAGTCTGTGGTTTGTGTTGAGTCTATGGTGTGTGTTCGAGTCTATGGTGTGTGTCGAGTCTATGGTGTGTGTTGAGTCTGTGGTGTGTGTTGAGTCTGTGGTGTGTGTTGAGTCTGTGGTGTGTGTTGAGTCTGTGGTGTGTGTTGAGTCTGTGGTGTGTGTTGAGTCTGTGGTGTGTGTTGAGTCTATGGTGTGTGTTGAGTCTGTGGTGTGTGTTGAGTCTATGGTGTGTGTTGAGTCTATGGTGTGTGTTGAGTCTATGGAGTGTGTTGAGTCTATGGTGTGTGTTGAGTCTGTGGTGTGTATCGAGTCTATGGTTTGTGTTGAGTCTATGGTGTGTGTTGAGTCTATGGTGTGTGTTGAGTCTGTGGGGTGTGTTGAGTCTATGGTTTGTGTTGAGTCTATGGTGTGTGTTGAGTCTATGGTGTGTGTTGAGTCTGTGGTGTGTGTTGAGTCTATGGTTTGTGTTGAGTCTGTGGTGTGTGTTGAGTCTGTGGTGTGTGTTGAGTCTGTGGTGTGTGTTGAGTCTGTGGTGTGTATCGAGTCTATGGTTTGTGTTGAGTCTGTGGTGTGTGTTGAGTCTATGGTGTGTGTTGAGTCTATGGTGTGTGTTGAGGCTGTGGTGTGTGTTGAGTCTGTGGTGTGTGTTGAGTCTGTGGTGTGTATCGAGTATATGGTGTGTGTTGAGTCTGTGGTGTGTGTTGAGTCTATGGTGTGTGTTGAGTATGGTGTGTGTTGAGTTTATGGAGTGTGTTGAGTCGATGGTGTGTGTTGAGTCTGTGGTGTGTGTTGAGTCTGTGGTGTGTATCGAGTCTATGGTGTGTGTTGAGTTTATGGAGTGTGTTGAGTCTATGGAGTGTGTTGAGTCTATGGTGTGTGTTGAGTCTATGGTGTGTGTTGAGTCTGTGGTGTGTTGAGTCTGTGGTGTGTATCGAGTCTATGGTGTGTGTTGAGTTTATGGAGTGTGTTGAGTCGATGGTGTGTGTTGAGTCTATGGAGTGTGTTGAGTCTATGGTTTGTGTTGAGTCTATGGTGTGTGTCGAGTCTATGGTGTGTGTTGAGTTTATGGAGTGTGTTGAGTCGATGGTGTGTGTTGAGTCTATGGAGTGTGTTGAGTCTATGGTGTGTGTTGAGTCTGTGGTGTGTGTTGAGTCTATGGTTTGTGTTGAGTCTATGGTGTGTGTTGAGTCTATGGTGTGTGTTGAGTCTATGGTGTGTGTTGAGTCTGTGGTGTGTGTTGAGTCTGTGGTGTGTATCGAGTCTATGGTGTGTGTTGAGTTTATGGAGTGTGTTGAGTCGATGGTGTGTGTTGAGTCTATGGAGTGTGTTGAGTCTATGGTTTGTGTTGAGTCTATGGTGTGTGTCGAGTCTATGGTGTGTGTTGAGTTTATGGAGTGTGTTGAGTCGATGGTGTGTGTTGAGTCTATGGAGTGTGTTGAGTCTATGGTGTGTGTTGAGTCTGTGGTGTGTGTTGAGTCTATGGTTTGTGTTGAGTCTATGGTGTGTGTTGAGTCTATGGTGTGTGTTGAGTCTATGGTGTGTATCGAGTCTATGGTTTGTGTTGAGTCTATGGTGTGTGTTGAGTCTATGGAGTGTGTTGAGTCTATGGTGTGTGTTGAGTCTATGGTGTGTATCGAGTCTATGGTGTGTGTTGAGTCTATGGTGTGTATCGAGTCTATGGTTTGTGTCGAGTCTATGGTGTGTGTTGAGTCTATGGAGTGTGTTGAGTCTATGGTGTGTGTTGAGTCTATGGTGTGTGTTGAGTCTATGGTGTGTATCGAGTCTATGGTGTATGTTGAGTCTATGGTGTGTGTTGAGTCTAAGGTGTGTGTTCCGAGTCTATGGTTTGTGTTGAGTTTATGGTGTGTGTCGAGTCCATGGTGTGTGTTGAGTCTGTGGTTTGTGTTGCACCTCAACAGATGCCCTACTCGTCCGTCAATTCCGGCACGGCCAGTCCAACCCAACGTACTACGTGGAGTGCGGCGACCGCAAGCTCGTCCTGCGCAAGAAGCCGCCGGGAAAGCTGCTGCCATCGGCGCACGCCGTGGAGAGGGAGTACAGGTGCAGCTAATCGGCGTCACGTGGAGGTCCGGATTCCGGAACGATCCGACAAAAGTTATTATTCACGTCGGAGAAAAATGCAAACTACTGCTGCTAAACTAAGCAATTTCTATTTTATTTTACCAAGTCCCACTGAGATAATGAGCTCTTTTTGAGAAGCGACCCGGCCACCACATGCGATGAAAGCTCAACGAAGTGGCTTACCGCGGGTAAATTCATAGCAACCAAATACTCTAAACGCACGTTGATTCTAAATGTGCAGGGAAAAAACGGAGGACCCGGAGAAAAATCGGCGCAAGCTCCAAATATACAGGTGTCAGGGTCGGCATCGAACCCACAATCTCCTGTACACCAGGCGAGTTAGTTAACATCTTGCCACCATGGCACTCCAATGCAGGTGTGGGTGGCGAGATGGGGGAGCAGTGGCTGCTCTCTCTTGGTCCCTGTATTCACGACAATAATGATAATAATGCCGCATGAATGCATTTATGTCGCACTTGCTCGGCGGATAATTGTTTCGGAGTTGGTCAGCTGATGTAGGTGTGGGGGATGGATGCGTTTCAGTTATTTCTTGGTACATTTTAAAACCAATAATTTAAAGGCATGGAGTGGTGGCATCATTACCACCCCATGACTAACATACATTTTGAGTGATATCTGGACTAGTGTTGGTCCCTCCCGTAGGTTGACTGCCTTAAATGAGTTTCTTTGCGTGGGGTAATGTAAACATCAGCGCTGGGGAGACAAAGACAGCCCGGCATGGTGTGGGCCACACCGCCATCACCCCGAGTACCTTCATCAGCACTTGCTGCAATCGTCTGTGGAGGCTACACTGGGGATCTTTTGTGTTTGTTGTGTGCGTCTGTGCTCCATGCAGGGTGATGAAGGCTCTGGGAGCGGCAGGAGTTCCCGTACCACAAGTGCTCTCTCTGTGCGAGGACCCCAGGTGAGTCAAGATCCCACGCGCCAACACCTGTGTATGCGCGCACATACACACACACCATACTTTACTCGCCCGCACACAGTTAACCTACAAGGCGGGTAGCGTGCACCGATTGAATATTTGCTGCAGGCGCATTGGCACGTTGGACATTGGGAGGCTGCACGCACCAGACGATGACAAATAACAGAATCTTCATTCGAATCACGGTGCCTGATTGTGACATGTCATCGGTTACTAACCAAGTTGTGAGGATAGCGCCACGGAGGGGCCGCGCCGGCGCTCAGCTGGTTGGACGCGGCGCTGCTCAGTTTGAGACGCAAACGTCGCTCAACGATCGAAGACAACTTCGCAGACAACTCGAGTCTCGACAGGCAATCGTCGTCCTTCAGGCACCAAGACGCAAGAGCAACCAACGTGGGAAAGAAACACTGCCACTCATGCGTTGGTCGACACAAAGATAAAGATCCGCCCGTATAGCCTGTAAGACTGTTGGGGAAAAGTGTTGTTAGCGAGCAGCACCTATGAAGGCCGGCATGGCGCACAAGGGGGTGGGTGGCCAGCACCGCACCTAGCCGCCTTTGTCTCCCCATTGGCAATCTTAACGCACTGCACCAGGTCGACCGAGGCCAGGCCCAGGACCAGTTCAGATAATCGTCACCGGTGTTGGCTGGCAATCGGCGACTGTCTGGGGAGTGGTGGCCGAGCAATTGGAGCCCTGTCACCGGTCGTTGCCCCCACATGGGTTTGCAGGAATGTGCACACGCAATCTGTTCACGGTGGCGAATGGAGCGCTGCGGTGGCGAGATGTTCACTCTCTCACCTTGTTATGCAGGAGGTCGTGGGTTCCATCCCAACCCTGACACCTGCATATTTGGAGTTTGCATGTTCTCCCAATGGTCGCGTGGATTTTTCTCCGTGTCCTCCAGCTTTTCCCGCCACATTTAGAATGAACATGCGTGTAAAGTATTGGGCTGCTAGAAATTTCCACGTGATAAGCCACTTCGTCGTGCTATGATTTGTGGCCAGGTCGCTTCTGAGAAAAGAGCTGTACAGCTCAGTGGAACTTGCCTGGCGAAATAGAAAACAGTTTTAGTTTCATTCGGCTTCGCCAGATGCCATCGAATGGCTTCTCCGAAGCCAACGCGCAGGTATCGGGATCGGTCTGTTGCTGTCCGAACGTCGTCGACGATCGTTGCTGCCCCGTTCTCGCAGCGTGCTGGGGACGCCCTTCTACCTGATGGAGTACGCCGAGGGGCGCATCTTCAAAGACCCGTCGCTGCCGGATCTGTCTCCAGAGCAGCGCCGCAAGGTCTATTCCGCCGTCACCTCCGTGCTCAGCCAAATCCACCGGGTGGATCCCGGGTCCGTGGGGCTCACCGACTTTGGCAAAACCGGTGGGTTCCCCGCGTTGCCACTACCCCCATCGCAAGTCGTCCCTGGAGAGTTTGGCCGGACATCCCAATGTATGGATGTCGTCGTTGTTGTTTGTCAGCTTGTAGCATCTCATTTCATGGGCAAAGGCCTCGGTTATCGTATCACATTGCTTCCCTTGCTTGGTTGTTCTGGTCCACGAGTGGTCTCCGAGCTCTGTGATTTTGCCTAGTTGCTGCCATCTATCTCCACGCCGCGGTTAATTTGTCGTCGCGTGTCTCATTATTTGTTGTCAAGGCGTGGCCTGCCCAATGTAAAACAGGGCCCCCCGTGAGTTCTCGAGGCTCAGCGAGGCCTTTCCTGCGTGCGTGAGTGCCGTCACGTTAATTCACACAATCACTGACGCCCTCGTCCTGCAGTGAGATTCGAGAAAAAAACCAGGCCTTACACGTACTACAAGAAGTAGCCAGTTTAACACGTAGTAGGCTTTCGCGATCAATATTATCCGCAGATGAGGAGGGAGAGTATGACGTTTCGCCGGTAATTACAACCAGCCTCATCAGGCGATAGCCAGAGTTGTGAAACTGGCGAACGTCGTACTCGAATGGTCAATGTTGTGGGTTTACTCTCCAACACACCGGTGTGCTGAAGTCGAATTGGCATGTTTTGTTTATGTGACAAACCGTACAAGCCTATATATTCTTGGTTCTTTCAGTAAAGTCACGTAGAAGGGAAAAAAAAATACAACATAATTATGTTTTTATTTTATAATAATGTTTTATTTTTATTATTTTATTATTTCCCTTCTACGTGACTTTACTGAAAGAACCAAGAATACGAATCCCTGCAGTCACTGAAAGCTTTAAACCGTACAAGCCTACGTGTTAAACTTACTTATCGGGTGGTGGCGGGTTTAACGGCACATTTATATTTACGCGATCGAACTCTATCATGAATAAGCAGCCAACCGGCAAACGAAAACGCATCTCTGGCAGGACGATACGTGGGGCGTCAGGTGCAGACGTGGACAAAGCAATACCGAGCGAGCGAGACCAAACGGCTGCCCTCCATGGAGCTGCTCGTGAATTGGCTGCCGGCTCACCTGCCCCGAGAGGAGGCGACCTGTGTGGTGCATGGAGACTTCAGGTGAGTTGAACACATGTGAGGCTGTCGCGAACAATATTATTCATAATCAAACGTTTTTGGGTTTAGATCGCGTTATTTATAAATGTCGTAACCTTCCACCACCCGACACGGCCAATCAGTAAAAAAGTGTCACGTTGACAAAAGACAAGTAGTTCACTGCTTTAGCCCACCGGTGTGTTGAAGTGTGAAACCACAACATTTACAATTTTTGAGTAGCACGACGTTTCGCTGGTAATTTTATCCAGCATCATCGGGCAATTCGCCAGAAATTGCCAGAAATTGCCCGATGATGCTGGATGCAATTACCAGCGAAACATCGTACTCAAAAATTGTAAATGTTGTGGTTTCACGCTTCAACACACCGGTGGGCTAAAGCATTGAACTATTTGTCTTTTGTCAACGTGACACTTTTTTACTGATTGGCCGTGTCGGGTGGTGGAGGGTTACGACACATTTATAAATAAGGCGATCTAAACCCAAAAACGTTGATTATGAACTTCAGGTGAGCCCTGCCGTGGGGTTGGAGCGCGGTTAGGGGGGGGTTCAAAGCGAGATCCCTCCGCACGTGCTCTCCCGCTTTGGGTGGGGCGGCTCATGCCCTTGGATGCAACTTGATGCTTTTGTTGCTTATCGTGACAAAACGGTCCACTGTGCCAAACACTTGCTTCTCCATTGTGATCTGCTTTAAAAGTATGCAGTGGGATGAGGAATTTACTTTAACTATTTTACTATAAACTATTTTTTTTACCAGGTAATGCCCACTGAGTTATACAGCTATTTTTCAGAAGTGATTCGGCTACAAGTGATAGCTCAACAATGATGGCTTATCACGTGGACATTTATAGCAGCCGAATACTCTAAGCGCATGTTTCTAAATGTGGAGGGAAAAACCGGAGGACGTGGATCAAAATCAATGCAACCACAGGGAGCACATGCAAACTCCAAATACACAGCAGGCGTCAGGGTCGGGATCGAACCGACGACCTCCTGCATGCCAGGCGAGGCAGTTAACATCGCAGTAGTCAAGTGGGGATGGGATGAACGGATTGCCCATGGTGGCGCACACCTCTTATCCAGCACTGTGGGCAGCGACGGTTGGTGGATCACCGCACAAATTACAATGTTGACTCCCTTCCCGCGTGCATCGAGGTGCAATGCCCTGGCTCGCCAGTATAATGCAGTACAGCAAAGTGTTGGCCTGCTATCATCTCTCCCTTGTGTATGGCACAGTGTCGCATGCGTGGGTTTTCTCCTGGTTCTGCGGTTTCTTGCCACACATGTGTTGCCTCCGAAACGTCGTGATTTTTATTTTTATTTTATTTTTATTTTGATGTTTTACTTACGTGACTTAACCGAAAAAACCTAAGAATACGTAGAAACACTTAACTGGCTGAAAAGACAGCTGATACAAGAGGGAACTGCGGAGCAATTGTTTGGGCTGGCTCACCGCATGGTAGCCTTCCACCTTAATCTGGGGTTCCCCAACGGTTGTTTATGCCATTTATTGTGAATATTCCGTCACAGTTCCTATGATCACTGTTTCATTGCTTTCATGGCTTTATTTTGGTGATTTCGAAAAGTGTATTGGTTTAGCCAAGCTTGTTTGTTGTAGTACAGAGTTAGACTGATGGCCTTAATCTAAGTTGTCTTGTGGTTGTTGTTGCTTGTTTGACTTGCATCCCGCTGGGATTTTTGCACACAGCGTTGGTGTACGGTGTTTTTTCTGCAATATTTTGCTGTCTTTAATTGGATTTTCTGTTTGCACTCAGTCACATATTCACTTTAAGATGTTTTTTTGTTCATGTTTTTGTTTTTTGTTTGTTGCGGTTGCACCCGATTCAAGAGCCGAATGGCTCACAGGGCTATACCTAATAAATGAACTTGAACAAACGTAATCATTCGATTTTGTTTGTCGAATTATGAGTCTCGGTGGCAGCACAGACGAGGAAAACGATTGTTGCCGGTGATATGTTGACCGTCAACTCCCGACACCACCGCCCGCGTGGGCGTCTGCGGTTGTGCCGTCGGCGACGTCCGACGTTTCGCCCCGCGCGCTGCTGGGAGATTCTCCAGGGACTGAACTTTCGCTCACGCACGCACGTACACGCACGCCCGACGGTTGGCCAGGCTGGACAACCTGGTGTTCGACGCGGAGCGGCTGGAGGTGCGGGCTGTGCTCGACTGGGAGCTGTCGACGCTGGGCGACCCGCTCTCTGACCTCTCCTACAGCTGCCTGGCTCACCACCTGCCCCGCAATTTCCCCATCCTGCCCGGTACGCGCACACACGCGCAGAGATACTCCTTGTATAAGCCTTCAACTGATTGTTGGGGCTAGTGCTGTTAGCGGACGTCTACGTGTGATGGCCGGCATGGTACGGCACGCGAGAGGGGTGGGTGGCAAACGCCACGCCCGGCCACCTTTTCCTGATGTTCACACACAACACTAGCTACTCATGTAAGGCTGGGTCAACATAGGGAAAGCCTAGGATCGGTTCAATATTCTCCCCTGTTAATTGATTGCGAGGGGGACTCGCACACGAATCGCGGGCTCGGTTGATAGCGCAGCGCGCTCACCACCACGCGAGCGCTTCCCATCAATGCACACACACGCGCAGAGACACGCGTAGATCTGGGCTGTCCGAATCTTGAAATAGTCGATTCATTCGACTAAAGCGGACAACGCGTTTCACTGCTCGGCGTGACCGGCACATCGGGCAACCCAACGCCTCGGCGTCTCGCGCGTTTTATTTTTCGTGCTCCGACCTCAGGAGCATCTTCCCGCGTGACGCCTGTAAAATCGCCGCCCGCACTCCCCCCCTCCTCGTGCGCGTGCCCCCGCGCTTCAACCCCCTGCGACGCCGCCCGCCTTCCGCAGGGCTGAAGGGCTGCGACCTCGTGGCGCTGGGCATCCCGAGCGACGAGGAGGTGATGAAGGCGTACTGCGGTGCCTCGGGCCGCCCACTCGTCGAGGACTGGCACTTCTACTTGGCCTTCTCGTTCTTCCGCGTCGCCGCCATCCTGCAGGGAGTGTACAAGCGGGCGCTCTCAGGTGTGCGCCCCGCACACTCGGCCGATAGGGCTCTGGCCAAATGCCCCGTCGAGACGGGCTCATACCTCGTACTTTGAAGTGATCACGTGGACCATCACGTGGACAAAAATGTAAAGCAAATGCTAAACCCTTAGTCGCTTGTTTCGTGAAGCTAAATTAACACAGTGGCGGCGGCGGCGGCAGCGGAGTGACGGTGGTGTGATGAGAGTATGACGGCAGTGGTTCGACAGTGCAGCAGGGGTGTTAAATGGTGTAATGGGGGCGGTGTGACGGTGGCAGTGTGATGGCGGTTCAACGGTGGTGGTGCGACAGCGGTGTGTAACGGCGGCGTGTAACGGCGGTGTGTAACGGCGATGTGCAACGGTGGTGTGACGACGACGGTGAATCAGGTCAGGCGAGCTCAGCGCGTGCCGAGGAGGCTGGTCAGTTGGCGGAGGCGATGGCTGACGTGGCTTGGGGTTTCGCCACACGGGAAGGATTCCGCATCTTCAAGGGGCAGCCCAAGCCGCCCGGCGGTGGTGCGGCAGGGCAATCCGGCCGGCCCTACAGCACCAGCTGCCGCAGCACGACTGTGAGTCGGCCTCCTTGTTGTGTTGCGTGTCGGTTCAGCGTAGCTGTGGATTAGACGCAGAACGAATCACCTTTCCAGCGATCCGATGAATCGTCACCGTTTGTATGGAGTGACGATTCCATTCAATAAATCGATGATTTTTTTCCGTGTAATTTTTTCCATCTCGCTCCGTATCTGTCGTTTCGTCCTGGCATGTACCTTTGGCTCCACGCTCATCTTTTCTCTCTCGGTTTGTTCCGTTCGCCTAAGTCTAACGGTATCATACGTCGTTAAGTTACGAAGATTGCAAATAACTGATTCTCTCAAACACGGGTCCCCAATTATATCTCGATCACTCCTGCGTCGTTGATTGCCCCCCAAAATGGTCCACCTGGCGCGTGATTGGGCGCGCTCTCCTGCAGGCACCCGGCTACCCGCGGCACGACCGCCGCTTCTTCGCTACTAGCGCGGGCGAGCCGGCCGCGGCGAGCGGGCGTGGTGACGGCGGCAGAGGTGGCGGTGGCGGAATGCCGGTACGGGAGGCGGAGCTGGCCCCGGCGGCCCGCGCGACGGTGGAGGCCGTGCGAGCGTTTGTGGGCGAGCGTGTGATCCCCGTGGAGGCCGAGCTGCGGCGGCACGGGGAGTCGGAGCGGCGCTGGGAGCCGCACCCGCTGCTGGAGCAACTCAAGGTTGGAACCCGACTCGTCCCGCCGCACCGGCACCACCGCCTCGGCCGATACCGCCGCATCACCGTCGTCGCCACCGCCGCCGCCGCCGCCGATGCCACTGCCATCATCACCGCCACGACTGATACCGTCGCCACCAATAAGACCGCTATGATGCCGCCACCACTGTCACCGTGGCCATCACCACTACCACTATTACTGCCACTATCACCACCGCCACGACTGATACCACTTCAAGTTCAAGTTCATTTATTAGGTATAGCCCTGTGAGCCATTCGGCTCTTGAATCGGGTGCAACCGCAACAAAGAAAAAACAAAAACATGAACAAAAAACACCTTAAAATGAATATGTGACTGAGTGCAAACATAAAATCCAAGAAAAGACGGCAAAATATTGCAGAAAAAACACCGTACACCTACGCTGTGTGCAAAAATCCCAGTGGGATGCAAGTCAAACAACCAACAACAACCACAAGACAACTTAGATTAAGGCCATCAGTCTAACTGTACTACAACAAACAAACATGGCTAAACCACTACCGATATCACAACTGTCCCCTTCATCGTCACTGCCACTATCTTCACCACCGCAACCATCACCACCACTCATTTCCGCCACCGCTACCTCCTCTACCATCGATACCACCAACACCACCACCACATGATAACACCACCACTGCCCAGCTCTGCCACCGCCACTACTGATAACCGCTGCCACCGCTACCACTGCCACCACTACCGCCACTGCTTCCACCGTTACCACTGCTGCTACCACTGCCTTCGCTGAAACCACGTCCACCACCATCTCCACGACAACAACAACGTCGGCAATGTCGCTAGCGCCACCGCCGCTAACCGCTAAGACCATCACCACTGCCACTGACACGACTGCCACTGCCATGATGAAATGACCATGCTTCCCCACGCCGCGCACGGGCGACATCTCGGTGTCTGCCAGCCGTGCCGATTTTGCACAGTTTGGAATCAAATGAGAGACTGAACTCGGCCCGCGACTGCCCCCCCCGCGCGGCTCAGACAGAGGCACGTGGGGCCGGGCTCTGGAACCTGTTCCTGGCGCGGGAGGCCGACCCCGACGCCCGGTACGGAGCCGGCCTCACCAACGTGGAGTACGCCTTCGCCTGCGAGGAGATGGGTCGCTCGCTGCACGCCTCCGAGGTGCGTTGGCCCACAAATCGTTTGCCTTCCCACTCATCTGTCTCTCTCTTAGAGTGAGTTAGCTAACGCTGCACGGCGGTGGCTCAGAGTTACACGTCCGAGATCGTCGACGCGACAACGCTGCGTTTCTTGCCGTCATTCTCCGCGCAGGCGTTCAACTGTTCCGCCCCGGACACGGGGAACATGGAGGTGCTCGTGCGCTACGGCACGGACCAGCAGCGCCGACGCTGGCTGGCGCCGCTGCTCGACGGCAAAATCCGATCCTGCTTCGCCATGACGGAACCTCAGGCACGCGGCGCATCTACCCCCCCCCCCATACCTCCGTCGTCATCGTCATCGTTGTGGTGTATTACTTGCTATCGCGCCACGCGCAAGTGTTGTGCAGTAGAACCACGCGGAGACGAGGGATACTATGAGGGCTGCTGCCGCTTATTAAGCCACTCTCACACTCGGCATCCTACACTCACACCAGTGTAGGTGCACCCTATCCCGCTGGGTCCTTCACCCGGACACTGAATCCTGTTTGGACCCTACCCTTGGCTATCCCTTGGCTCTCTCACTCGTCAGCCCGGAGCGGGGGATCAGCCAACACGAGGAGAGAGACCCTCACTCTGGCCAGTCCTTACCCTGGCTCCCCACGATGACCCCGCCTTCATCACGGGGTCCCCCTTAAGAACCCCTTTGGGCGGCTCCTCCCCCCAGCTCGGCCCCGCCTACGTTCCCGAAGGTGTTCTCCGAAGCCCCTTACGTAACCCGTGACGTTACGTCATCCATGACTGTCAACCCGCTCACACCTCCTCCTGTTCGCCCCCTCACCGGTTACTCGCAATCCTCCTCTACGCGAGTGTCAGACAGCTCCCAAAGCGCCAACGGAGAGACGAGACACAGTTGGACAGAGCACCGCACACACGGGTGGCGGCAGCAGTAGCAGCGCACGTGAACCCTGACCCTAACCCCCCCCCCCCACCCCCACCCCTGCAATCACTCCCCCTTTTTGCAGGTAGCCTCCTCTGATGCCACCAACATCGAGGCGTCCATCGTAGAGGCCGGCGACAGCTACGTTCTGAATGGCCACAAGTGGTGGACGTCTGGTGAGCGAGCGCGCGTGCGTACGCGCGTGTGTGTGTGTGGAGTTCTGGGGAGGCGTGCGAGGTTGGCTTCCAACTGAGCTCGTGCGTATTTACAAATAAACTCCTTAAAACCAGCGGTTTTATTTTAAAGTGCACTAAAAAGTAAATAGCTCGATTGGACAACGGGAAGTGGATGACATCTTCATCACAGAGTTTAGGGACCGTGGCGTTTTTGACTTGCCCAAATAAATATTAAATTAATAAGCCGTCCGTGCAAAATGTGAATTGCTTTAAAAGAGCCAATACATTTGATACAGGCATGCATTGTCACCGGATCTGAGTACGTGTACAAATTTTTATTTGATTGGACAACAGGAAGTGGACTAACTTTTGATTACAAGATCTGACCACGACAAACACAAGTGAAGTTAAATAAAACCGTTGGAAAAAAAATTAACCCGTAAAAACAAAGTTTCTCACTATAAATCCTTTATATGCGTGACGGCTAGAGTCCTCTCGTCCTCTGGCTTGAGATGGCTGCTACCTATGGGTCAGATGATTGCCTGCCACCATTAAGCAATTGGTAATTAAATATAATTTATTTTTTCCTAAAAAGTGTAAAATTTTGGAAAAAAAATTTCACGAAAATAAATTGTCACGCACAACGAGTCTGTGTGCAAAATGTCAGCTCGATTGGATCACTGGAAGTGGGTTAAAAAACGACCGAAAGATTTGCACGGTCGTAAGCGCGCAAGCAAGCAAGTGAACTTAATATAAAGGCTTTAAAAAGAGTCTCGGTTTGGCTGCCGTGCGATGCACATGAATTAATCCGGGTGGCAGTGTGGGCAGGAAAGCGCAGCCCTCTGCTGTGCGGACCAGTTCTGCAGTATCAGCTTCTGCGTGCCGTTGTCTAACATGAAGCATTTTTGCACTGTTCCTCCGCTCGAGATCTGAACGGATTCTTCGTTTAATGACGCAACGCCGACAGCACAAGTGGGAAATACATTGGAGGGAAAATTTACCCAATTTTTTTTTGCATGGTCAGGTTTTGTTGCATGTGTGCTGTGCGCATCGCACGGTGGCGAGATGTTAACTACCTCGCCTGGTATACAGGATCCCGACCCTGACGCCTGTATATTTGGAGTTTGCATGTTCTACCCGTGGTCGCGTGGATTTTTCTTTAGGTCCTCCAGTTTTTCCCTCCACATTTAGAATCAACATCACCACGCATTTAGAGTATTTGGCTGCTGTAAATTTCCACACGGTAAGCCGCTTGGTTGAGCTATCATTTGTGTTCTTGGTTCTTTCGGTAAAGTGACGTAGAAGGGAGATAATGAAAGATAATAAAATAATGCTAAATTCCTCTGTTGATATGCAAATTCCTTTGTCAAGGTGCTCTTCCCCCCCTAACCCAGCTTCAATATACGCTGCGAAGCTTGGCAGTGTTTATTCAGACGCTGTCTTTCCGACAGCCCTGTTCTTCACCTGAGGACGGCTGCTTGCGTTGTGGCCGAAACGTCGTGAGAATTGTATTATTTTATTATGTTGTATTTTTATTATTTTATTATCTCCCTTCTACGTGACTTTACCGAAAGAACCCAAGAAGATGAATCCCTGCAGTCACGAAAGAAGCTTTAAATCGAAATTCATCATTTGCGATCGCCATGTTGCGTCTGAAAAAGAGCTACATAGCTCAGTGGGCCTTGCCTGGTTTCAAAACCAAATAAAGTCTAAATCGTTTTAAATGTGCCATGCGTGTCCGTGTTCTTCCCCAGGTGCTCTGGATCCTCGCTGCGAGCTCTGCATCTTCATGGGGAAGACGGACCCGGCGGCGCCGCGGCACCGGCAGCAGAGCATGGTGCTGGTGCCCATGGACACGCCTGGCCTGCGTGTGCTGCGTCCACTCTCCGTCTACGGCTTCCAGGACCCGCCCGGCAAGTGCAGACGCGCACTCGCCTACCCACGTGTGCATCATGCAGACGGAGATCCCACGTGTCGCCTTGGAGCGGGCTGTTTTAGGGCGAGTTCTATTCGCGAGTAGCGCCGATAAAGGCCGGCGTGGCACTCAAGAAAGTGGGTGGCCAGCATCACGCTCGGCCGCCTTTGCCTCACGAGTGACAATTTTAACACGCACCCCAAGGGAGGCCCGGGACTGGTTCAGATAATGGTCATTGGTGTTGGCCGTGAACGGGAATCGAACGTGCACACGACGGTGGCTACGCACGTGGCCTGTAATTCAGCGCTGTGGGGACAACGAGGGTTGCTGGATCACCGCACACCAATATTACGGAACTCGCATCCCGTGAGTGTTGAGGTGCCATACCCTGGCTCGCCAGGAGAAGGCGGTAGAGCAATGTGGACTGATCGCGACGCTAGCAACAACGAGCAGAACGCCGGGCAGATAAAACCAAGCAAGTTGGACACTGTGGGGAGCAACAGCTTGGTGCATCTGCCAGTCATCCTCGGTCAGTCAGCCCATGGCACCAGGGTCTGTCCTGTAACCTCCTGCCAGCGGCAAGCCATCGACACTTCACGTGATGGCCGAGAAGTGCACCTAGCCTGGCGCAAGCGTCGTGGTGACGTCCACCCCGCCGCTTAGTAGCCAACGGCGGCTGTTGTTGTTGCCGACGCTCACAACAACGAACGGAGCGCCGGGTGGCTAAAGCACAGCAAGTTGGCACAGTAGGGGGCACAGGTGTTGCATCAACCAGTCATCTCAGTCATCTCAGTCATCTCAGTCAGTCGACCCGTGGCACCTGGGTCTGCTCCGTGACCTCCTGCCAGCGGGCGTTCGACACTTCACGTGGCCTCAACGTGCACATCGCCTGGCACGAGTGTCGTGGTGACATCACCGCCACTTAGTGGCGAATGGCGGTTGTTGTTGTTGTGTGTGTGTCGTATGTATGTGTGTATGTGTGTGTATGTGTGTATGTGTGTGTGTGTATGTGTGTATGTGTGTGTATGTTTGTGTGTGTATGTGTGTGTGTATGTGTGTTTGTGTGTGTATGTATGTGTGTATCTGTGTGTGTGTATGTATGTGTGTGTATGTGTGTTGAGCTTCTTTCATCGTGTGCGCAGGGGGTCACGGCGAGGTGGAGTTTGTGGAGGTGCGCGTGCCGCGCGACAACGTGCTGCTGGGGCCCGGCAGGGGCTTCGAGATAGCGCAGGGCCGCCTGGGCCCCGGGCGTGTCCACCACTGCATGCGGCTCATCGGCTCCGCTGAGCGGGCCCTGCAGCTCATGACCGACAGGGTACGGCCCCCCGCTCCCCCGCCTACCGCCCCACCCCCCACCCAACCTCCGTAGGCCAACAATCCACCAACCCCTTTCCTCGGAAATTCCAGGAGTTGTCCCCACGATGCAACAATTGATTGACGACGTCGCGTGGCACGTGATGTCGATCCTGCATGCCGACTTGACCGGCAAATTGTGTTTGACGCACATGTCACGTTTGCGTAAGTGATCGCACCATGTGCGGTTTAGAAATTAACTTGTCGGAGGCAACTTTCGTGAACGGGAAACTAATTTGATTCTTGTATGAATTGACATTGCGCAGTATTTCCGATTCCTCCTGTGCAGCGCGGTGATTTTGTCTCTGATTTATTTATATTTTGTGCTTCAATAGTTTTACATTCAATTTTTTTTTATTGCTTCCACCATTTTTGGTGAGCCTGGTCACTCTTGGAGATGAGACTCCTCCCGGCCTCCCGAGTTAGCATTGTGAAACAGAAGTGAACTTCATCTTCTTGGTTCTTTCGGTAAGGTCACAAAGATAGGTTCAAAGAAAATAACAAAAAACTACGACGTTTCGATTGGAACACAAGCAATCGAAACGTCGTAGTTTTTTGTAAATTTCTTTGAACCTATCAATGTGACTTTACCGAAAGACCCAAAGAATATGAATTCCTGCAGTCACGAAAGCTTCAAGTCGAGAAGTGAACTTGAAACTCAACGTGTGTGTCCCACGCGCGCGACCACACGGCAATCTTATTCCGTGGCCTTCTTGGGAAAAAGACACCTTTGGGGAACGCCAGCCCTGAGAAACAAGCGGGGGGGGGGGTGGGTCTCCCTTCAACGGTCGGGCTTTGCGAGCTCGTCGCGTGGTTGTTACCCTGGCCGTGCATGCGCCGCCGTGGTGGTGGTGGTTGTGGTGGTGTGTGGTGGTGGTGGTGGTGCAGGTGAAGTCGCGCGTCGCGTTTGGGAAGCCGCTGGCCGAGCAGGGAACCGTCATGGCCGACATGGCCACGTCGCGCGTGGAGCTGGAGCAGGCGCGGCTGCTCGTGCTGAAGACGGCGCACCTCATGGACTCGCTCGGCAACAAGGTGACGATGCAGCAGCGGCGTCCCTCGCTCCCGCCCTCGCTCTGCCGTCGTGCATCTCATCACGTCGCCTCTTGTCCCTCCGCTCGCCCACATACGTTACATCGCTTCCAGCCCCCCCTCACATGTCTCTCAGGCCTTACATCCTTCACGTCGCTGCCAATCCTCGCATCCCTCTCTTCTGGCACATCCGTCTGTCGTGCACTCCGAACGTCTGTCCAATCCCTCGCGTTCCTCTCACCCCTCAATCCGAGTTCCTGAACAATAAACAGGGCCTCTTACGATTTCGAAACCCCTTCCTTGCAACGTTCCCCTCTCACCCCTGCCCCTTTCCTCCTTGACCACTGGTGGTGTCTCCACGCTCGTCTGTGGGGGCAGGCGGCAGCACCGGAGATTGCGATGATCAAGGTGGTGGTGCCCAGCATGGCCCAGCAAGTCATCGACCGCGCCATCCAGGTGAGAGCGTGCGCACACACGCGGGTCTGCGTGTCTGCGTGTCTATGTGCGGGGAGGGGCGGCGTAGCGGTGAGCGCGCCGTGCTACGAACCCGGTTGACCTGGCTTCGAATCCCGGTCACAGCCGACACTAGTGACGATTATCTGAACTGATTCTGGGCCTCCACTAGGTCGACTCAGCCTCAAATGGGTACCTGACGCGGTGTGTTGCCACTTGGGGAGACAAAGGCGGCCGGGGGTGGCGCTGGCCACCCGCCCCCATCGTGCGCCGTGCCGCCAGCCTTCATAGGCGCTACTCGCTAACAGCACTTGCCCCGACAATCTGCTACAGGCTATACGGGGTGGGGGGGGTCTTTGTCTTTGTGCCGGCTGTGTAGGCGTTTGGCGCTGCCGGCCTGGGCCCCGACCTGCCGCTGGCCGAGTTCCACATGTGGGCACGGGCGCTGCGGATCGCCGACGGACCTGACGAGGTTCACCGCGCCACCGTCGCCAAGATGGAGCTCCGGGCGCCCCACCTGGCCTAACCTCCCTCTCTCTCTCTCTCATCCTGCACGTCCGTCTTCTTCCTCCGGGCCTCCGGTGCTCAACTCCGCGCACGAAAGCCCTTCCCCTCGTTTCGTGCGCAGTCAAAAACCCCCGAGTGTCCACGGGACGCGCGTGTCCGTGAGAAACCCGTGCGTCCGTGACACACCCGTGTCCGCGCACCGCAACTTTGACTTGCCTGTCCCGGCAGCGTATTTCACGGTGGTATATATATATATATATATTTCCCTTTTTCCCCCCCAACTCAACCGGGAATCTGGGCTGCAGGCAGAATTTTCTGGGCTGAAAGTGCGGCTCCGACTGCTTGGCCTGAAATTTCCCCACCTCATTGAAGGGATCCCTCCCACATCAGCAGCCGTGCCAAGCGCTGGTGTCCTGCGTGGCAGGGACATTTATAAATTTTCTTAGGTTTTTTCGGTAAAGTCACGTAGGTAAAAAAATTTAATTAATAAAAGTAAAATAAAAATAAAATAAAAATCACGACGTTTCGGAGGCAACACAAGCTTCGGTCTTCAGGTGGAACCGTCACAGCACGATAGCTGTATCAAGTGAAATTAATAAAAGTAAAATAAAAATAAAATAAAAATCACGACGTTTCAGAGGCAACACAAGCTTCCGTCTTCAGGTGGAACCGTCACAGCACGATAGCTGTATCAAGTGAGAGAAATTCCAAGGAAACAGTATTTGTATATATACTGGTTGAGGGTGGGAGGAGCCAAGGTAGGCCCTGAATATTATTTTTGTGAGGTTCGGTGCGGCCGAAGCACGCTGCTAGGAACGTTTAACGCAACGTTTGACGACTGACGAGTAACGTTTGCTTTTCGCGAGCACCCCAACCTTGACCTCTTCTGACTCGCAAGTGCTTTATATATATGGGTAAGTTTTATTGCTCGGAACTCTTTTATTTGTGGGAGAGGGCTGCCCCAAACTCGCGTGACGAACCCGAATCAACTCGGCCCAAGTCCTGGACGCGCCAGCTCGAGTTGGCCTTCACCTCGAGAAAAGCGTTTACCTGCTTAACCTCTTGACCTCTGGGGTTGGGTTGGGTGATAACGGCCCTCAGTAGTCAGTGGTGGAAGTTCCACCACCTTCCCCATTTGAGAGCCGTTCTCTTTACAGACAACCACCGTGGATTTCCCGCAATGTGATTTGTTTGAAGCGGCGTTCGGATCTGCTGATCTGAGCTAAGTATATGGTTGTTTTTGTGTGCGCACGCTGCATTTGGCTCACCCGAGTGTGTGCGCGCGGCGCGTCTTTGCTGCCAGTCAACCCATGGCCACCTGGGTCTGTCCCCGTGACCTCCTGCCGATGGCGATTGTTGTGGTTGGGGAGCGATCACGCAGTTCGTTAGCGCATTGCCCGACAAACCGGGCGACACGGCTTCTCGATTCCCCCTCACCGTAGCCAACATTGGTATTTGAACCGGTCCCACGCCTCCCCTAGGTCGATTCAGCCTTCAGTGAATACCTGGTGCAGTGCATAAACATCAACATTGGGGAGACAAAGGAGGGCGGACATGGCGCTGGCCACGCTCTCCCCTCACGTGCCGTGCCGGCCTTAATACGTGTGCACTTACAGCACTTGCCCCAACAGGCTTTGGTTGTGTGGATGTGTGTGAGCGGTAGTGTAGCGGTGAGCGCGTTGCGCTATGAACCCGGCGACCCAAGTTCGATTTCCGCTCACGGCTAACGCCAGTGAAGATTATCTGAACCGGTCCTGGGCCTCCGCCCTAGGTCGACTCAGCCTCGAATGAGTACCTGGTGCGGTGTGTAAACATCGCCACTGGGGAGACAAAGGCGGCCTGACGTGGTGCTGGCCCACCCACCCCTTTCGTGTGCCGTTTCGGCCTTCATAGGTGCTCGCTAACAGCACTTGCCCCAATTCTATGAAGGCTACACGGGGGATCTTTGTGTGTGCGTGTAGGATTCTGTGTGTACGCTGCGTAGCTTTCCCACGCATTCTCGGGTTGCACCTCTGCACGGTGTCCGACGTTTCGCACCACGTGCCGGTGGGAGCTACTTTTTGCGGTAACTTTTTCAATGGGGGGGGGGGGGGGGAGGGTGGTTAGGACCTCCTGCGACCGATCAAAATTTGCAAGTCGTTTGGCCCTCGGATCGGCGTAAAGGAGCAATCGAACCGGGTCGGGAGACCTCGCAGAGAAATGTTTTCTCGCCGGTACCTTGGGAACTCTTTTTGTCGCGGGATAAATTGATGGAATATTGCATGAAATAAAAGGCATTCAGGGGAAATGATTTTTTGTGACCCAATTATAGCTCGGGCTGATGGGGATGTGTTTAGGATAAGTAGTTGCAATGTATATGCAATGGTTTTGAACTGAAAGCATTATACGTGTGTGTGTATGTGTGCGTGGGGAGTGGCAGTGTCGTGATTAGGGCACTGCGCTATGAATATGGCTACCCGAGTCCGAGTGACGATTATATGATCTGGTCCTGGGCCGCACCTAGGTTGACTCAGCCTCAAATGAGTACCTGGTGTGGTGTGTAAACAACCCCATTAGGGAGACAAAGGCGCTCGGGCATGGTGCTGGCCACCACCACCCCCTCGTGTACCGTTCCGGCCTTCATAGGTGCTCGCTAATAGCACTTGCCCCAGCAATCCCGTTAAGGCTATACGGGGGATCTTTGTCTTTTTTGAGTGCGTGCGTGCGGGCGTGTGCGAGCGCTCTTACCTGGATTGCCGTCCATTGTAATGAGCTGTAAATAACACAAACGGTAGAGAGCTGGTAGTTATTTTTTTTGTGTGCGCGCGTATTGTGCGTGAAATTAGGAGGTCATTGTGATGCAATTCATTGTGATTCGTGATTGCAATTCGGTTATATTGTGAAGGTCTCGATGCAAAGAGGTGGTGATGAATATAGTTTGAGTCTAAACTGCGCCTGTGCTTTGTGTTTGGTGGGGGGTGGGGGGCTCTCTGTGAGTTGTGATGACTGGCAATTCCAGATGGACACGTGGTGGCCGGAGGTTGGGGAGTTGGGCAGTCAAATCGGAACGAGCGGTGACGATTCCGGCGATCCCTGATTTTCGCGCCATCGGGACATTCGAAGAAGCGGAGAGTCGGAACGGTGGCTGCTAACCGTGTCGGTGACACCGAGCTCGCAACGTTGGCACCTTGAGTTCCATTCTGGGTCTCGGCCGCCCGACCAAAAACATGATTAAACCGCGGTTATCCGGTGCAGTGAGTTTGACGGTTTCGGCCCAGTTGCCAGTGACTGCACTGGCAATGTTAATAATGATGCAACATGCCGGAAAGCGTTGGCTCGCTCGTTTAACGTGGCAGACGCGTTTCCGAAAAGTGGCGCATTAAGTAAAAAAAATGCGTGAAGCGAAAAAAATTACCCCATAAAACACATTCCTGCGGAAGGAGCTGGTAGGAACGTTGGGTTGCTCGGTCAATGGCCAGGGTCAACGGCGGCGTGGTGTATTCCGCAAATATGGCCGACTGCGAGGGCGGTCACAAGCCGGCGTGAGTAGGTTAAACGTTGAGTTTTATAAGGGCACCACGGGGTGACCAGCCCCTCCCCACCCAGCCCCTCCCCTCCCCACCCTCCCCACCAAGCCACTCCCCACCCAGCCCCTCCTCACCCTCCCCTCTCCACCCAGCCCCACCCCTCCCATTTTTTGATGCACGACGGACGGACACAATAATCCCCTGTGGGCTGGTGTAACCAGGAGGTTCCTACCAGTATGATGTAACGTATGTATGTTGAACTTCTTACGCACAGTACGTAGCCAACCGCACTAATCGGAGATGCGATGTACTACATGCACACAGTGCGACTGCAGAGGGACAAATAGCTGAGGGTGCGCTGCCTCGTTAACTGTATCGTAGCGCATATTCCATCGCGGCACTCAGCCACGCATCTCAAGAAAGCAGTAAATCGTCGACCACTCAGAAACCGCGTTATAATGGACTCGTTCTGCGTTATAACGGGCGCGTTCCGCGTTATAACGGGCGCGTTCCGCGTTATAACGGGCGCGTTCCGCGTTATAACGGGCGCGTTCCGCGTTATAACGGGCGCGTTCCGCGTTATAACGGGCGCGTTCCGCGTTATAACGGGCTCGTTCCGCGTTATAACGGGCGCGTTCCGCGTTATAACGGGCGCGTTCCGCGTTATAACGGGCGCGTTCCGCGTTATAACGGGCGCGTTCCGCGTTATAACGGGCGCGTTCCGCGTTATAACGGGTGCGTTGTGCGAAAAGTGCCCCCGAGTAGAAGAACCGCGTTACAGCGGAAACGCGTTAACACCACGCGTTAAGCGAGGACTTTCAACACTCGCAAGTTGGATTGTACTGTTGGCCCAGTGAGGCTGCGAGTCGCGTGGCTTATACTCCCTTAAGCATGCACGCGTGTGTGGGTGAGCGAGCGCGTTATGTTTTATTCCATGATGCAGGGATTTTCACCATGAAACCACACCCGAGTGTCGGTCGCGGCTCACATCAGCGGGGAGTGATTGTATTGCGACTTACACACTCATGATATTTACACGTTGGGTGTCATCGGTCGAAGGGTGGGAGCTCACCGCGTCTCCTAACCCAGGCACGTCGAGTTAGATTCCCGGCCACGGCGAATCAGTATCAATGACGATTGACATCTAAAACCATTTCTGGATCGGATGTGCCCTCCCCCGCCACCCCACCTACTCTTTACCAACCCGCACTGACCAACGTGGTGAAGTATGGTCAAATAAAGCCCCCGCCACCGCCCCCACATGATTGACACGGCGTGGGGGGAGCCCTTCATCCAGCAGTGGATTGACAAAGGGATATTCAGTGAAATGACTCGAACGCAACAACAATCACTAAGTTAAACTAAAAACTGAACGATTTTTTATTTTACCAGGTTAAGGCCCACTGAGCTAAATTTCGATTTAAAGCTTTCGTGACTGCAGGGATTCATCTTCTTGGTTCTTTCGGTAAAGTCGCGTAGAAGGTAAATAATAAAATAATAAAAAATAAACAATAAAATAATTCTCACGACGTTTCAGTCAGTGGTTATATTAAGAAACCTGAGGACGGCTGATTGCGTTGTGGCCGAAACGTCGTGAGAATTATTTTATTATGTTAATTTTATTATTTATTATTTCCCTTCTACGTGACTTACCGAAAGAACCAAGAAGATGAAGCCCACTGAGCTATGTAGCTCTTTTTCAGAAGCGGCCCTGGCCACAAATGAAAGCTCAACGAAGTGGCTTATCATCGCCTGCAAATGTATAGCAGCCAAATCACTCTAAAGGAACCGGAGGACCCGCAGAAAAATACACGCGACCATGGGGAGAACACGCAAACTCCAAATATATAACAGGCGTCAGGGTCGGGATGGAACCCACGACCCCCTGTAAACCAGGCGAGGTAGTTAACATCCAGCCACCGTGGCACCCCGGTTACTCCTTTTTTATTTTTATTAATTTTAATAGAATTTTTTTACCTACGTGATTTTACCGAAAAAAGCTAAGAGTATGAATCCTTGCAGTCACGAAAGCTTCAAATCTAGAATTACTCCTAACAAGCTCGTGCATTGTACGACAATCTTGGCATGATGTCGCTACTAGGTGGCGCTAAGAGCCCATTGCCCTGGAAGGAAACACATTATTGTGCCACTTCTTTTGGCTCCAAGCATCATCTTAGGATGTGCTGTGAGAAGGAGAGCCATTGCGCGAAACGTCGCCTTCATCTAAGGCCACACAGCGGTGTCATTGACGAATGTTTTTGAGTGTTGTTAATTGTGCTTGTGCACCACTGTTCACGCAGCAGCAGCGGCAGCATCGTCAACATCCAGTAATTTGTTTAATCGTAAAATGCGGCCAACTGGAGTGGTTATATTACGAAATAAAAACACCATCCTCGATTTTTTCTTCTACATATTATATCCTGGAGAAATCCGATGAGCTATGAAGCCATTTCCCCCCCCCCCCCCCCAGAAGTCTAGTCGGGGCACGGTTTCAGCAAGTTGCAACAACAAACAACAACTCTGGGGACAGGTGTTGGGAATATCGCACCACCGTGGTGGCTAGGAGATGTTAACTACCTCGCCTGGTCTGCAGGAGGTCGTGGGTTCGATCCCAACCCTGACGCCTGCTGTATATGTGGAGTTTGCGTGTCTCTCTCCCCGTGGTCGCGTGGATTTTTCTCGGGGTCCTCCGGTTTTTCCCTCCACATTTAGAATCAATGGGCTATATAGCTCAGTGGGCCTTACCTGGTAAAATAAACAAAAAATATATAGTTTAGTTTTTACCAGGGATCAGCTACCAAAATAACAAGATCCCTTTTTTATATCCACTTCTACGGTGAACTGGACTCCCATTGTGAACTGGACTCCCATAGTAAACTGGACTTCCATGGTGAACTGAACTTCCATGGTGAACTGGACTTCCATGGTGAACTGAACTTCCATGGTGAACTGGACTTCCATGGTAAACTGGACTTCCATTGTGGACTGGACTTCCATGGTGAACTGGACTTCCATGGTGAACTGGACTTCCATGGTAAACTGGACTTCAATTGTGGACTGGACTTCCATGGTGAACTGGACTTCCATAGTGAACTGAACTTCCATGGTGAACTAGACTTCCATGGTAAACTGGACTTCCATGGTGAACTGGACTTCCATGGTGAACTGGACTTCCATGGTGAACTGGACTTCCATGGTGAACTGAACTTCCATGGTGAACTAGACTTCCATGGTAAACTGGACTTCCATGGTGAACTGGACTTCCATAGTGAACTGAACTTCCATGGTGAACTAGACTTCCATGGTAAACTGGACTTCCATGGTGAATTGGACTTCCATGGTGAACTGGACTTCCATGGTGAACTGGACTTCCATGGTAAACTGGACTTCAATTGTGGACTGGACTTCCATGGTGAACTGGACTTCCATAGTGAACTGAACTTCCATGGTGAACTAGACTTCCATGGTAAACTGGACTTCCATGGTGAACTGAACTTCCATGGTGAACTGGACTTCCATGGTGAACTGAATCCCATGGTGAACTGGACTCCCACGGTCAGGGGTCGCCAAGCAAAATAACGAAGAAGAGCCAATTTTTGTTCAAATTCGGTATGTAACAACAACAAAAAAGCCACTCCCAAATGAACCCTTCGATATTTCAAGAGCCGCGATGCTCAGTCCGTACAGACAGAGAGACAAGACAGAGAGAGACAGAGAGACAGAGAGAGAGACAGAGAGAGACGCGTGCCTCCTGGAGCCCCGCGGAGTTTGCCCACCCGCGGTTTGCGTGTCCCGTGGCGCGCAACGAAGAGGGACGCGCGCGTCCGCGCCCGGCGTAGTCGTCGTTGTTGTCGTTGTGCGGAGTCGCGGTAACGAGGGCGGAGGGAGCTGCGAGCGAACGAGAGACGACACCTCCCGAGACGAGGTGTCCAGAGTCGCTATGGAGATGGCTCCGTCTTCTCGGCGAGCCGTCTCCCCACCCACAGTGGCGCGTCACAACATCACGCACGGCCACCATCACCTCGACAACAACAACATCACGCACGGCCACCACCACCTCATCAACAACATCACGCACGGCCACCATCACCTCGACAACAACAACATCACGCACGGCCACCACCACCTCATCAACAACATCACGCACGGCCACCATCACCTCGACAACAACAACATCACGCACGGCCACCATCACCTCGACAACAACAACATCACGCACGGCCACCACCACCTCATCAACAACATCACGCACGGCCACCATCACTTCGACAACAATAACATCACGCACGGCTATCATCTCATCAACAACAACATCACGCACGGCCACCACCACCTCATCAACAACATCACGCACGGCCACCACCACCTCATCAACAACATCACGCACGGCTATCACCTCATCAGCAACAACATCACGCACGGCCACCACCACCTCATCAACAACATCACGCACGGCCATCACCACCTCATCAACAACATCACGCACGACCACCACCTCATCAACAACAACATCACGCACGGCCACCACCTCATCAACAACAACATCACGCACGACCATCACCTCAACAACAACAACATCACGCACGACCATCACCTCAACAACAACAACATCACGCACGGCCACCACCTCATCAACAACAACATCACGCACGACCACCACCTCAACAACAACAACATCACGCACGACCATCACCTCAACAACAACAACATCACGCACGACCATCACCTCAACAACAACAACATCACGCACGGCCACCACCTCATCAACAACAACATCACGCACGGCCATCACCTCATCAACAACATCACGCACGGCCATCACCTCATCAGCAACAACATCACGCACGGCCATCACCTCATCAACAACAACATCACGCACGACCATCACCTCATCAGCAACAACATCACGCACGGCCACCACCTCATCAACAACAACATCACGCAGGCCATCACCTCAACAACAACAACATCACGCACGACCACCACCTCATCAACAACAACATCACGCACGACCACCACCTCATCAACAACAACATCACGCACGACCATCACCTCAACAACAACAACATCACGCACGACCACCACCTCATCAACAACATCACGCACGACCACCACCTCAACAACAACAACAACATCACGCAGGACCACCACCTCAACAACAACAACATCACGCACGGCCATCACCTCAACAACAACAACATCACGCATGGCCACCACCTCATCAACAACAACATCACGCACGACCATCACCTCAACAACAACAACATCACGCACGGCCACCACCTCATCAACAACAACATCACGCACGACCATCACCTCAACAACAACAACATCACGCACGACCATCACCTCAACAACAACAACATCACGCACGGCCACCACCTCATCAACAACAACATCACGCACGGCCACCACCTCATCAACAACAACATCACGCACGGCCATCACCTCATCAACAACATCACGCACGGCCATCACTTCATCAGCAACAACATCACGCACAGCCATCACCTCATCAACAACAACATCACGCACGACCATCACCTCATCAGCAACAACATCACACACGGCCACCACCTCATCAACAACAACATCACGCAGGCCATCACCTCAACAACAACAACATCACGCACGACCACCACCTCATCAACAACAACATCACGCACGACCACCACCTCATCAACAACAACATCACGCACGACCATCACCTCAACAACAACAACATCACGCACGACCACCACCTCATCAACAACATCACGCACGACCACCACCTCAACAACAACAACAACATCACGCAGGACCACCACCTCAACAACAACAACATCACGCACGGCCATCACCTCAACAACAACAACATCACGCATGGCCACCACCTCATCAACAACAACATCACGCACGACCATCACCTCAACAACAACAACATCACGCACGGCCACCACCTCATCAACAACAACATCACGCACGACCATCACCTCAACAACAACAACATCACGCACGACCACCACCTCAACAACAACAACATCACGCACGGCCACCACCTCATCAACAACATCACGCACGGCCACCACCTCATCAACAACAACATCACGCACAACCATCACATCAACAACATAACGCACGGCCACCACCTCATCAACAACAACATCACGCACGGCCACCACCTCAACAACAACAACAACACGCACGGCCACCACCTCATCAACAACAACATCACGCACGGCCACCACCTCAACAACAACAACAACACGCACGGCCACCACCTCATCAACAACAACATCACGCACGACCACCACCTCAACAACAACAACAACATCACGCACGACCACCACCTCAACAACAACAACAACATCACGCACGACCACCACCTCATCAACAACAACATCACGCACGACCACCACCTCATCAACAACAACATCACGCACGACCACCACCTCATCAACAACAACATCACGCACGACCACCACCTCAACAACAACAACAACATCACGCACGACCACCACCTCAACAACAACAACATGCACGGCCATCACATCAACAACAACAACATCACGCACGGCCATCACCTCAACAACAACAACATCACGCACGACCACCACCTCATCAACAACATCACGCACGGCCACCACCTCAACAACAACAACATCACGCACGGCCACCACCTCAACAACAACAACATCACGCACGACCACCACCTCATCAACAACAACATCACGCACGGCCACCACCTCAACAACAACAACATCACGCACGGCCATCACCTCATCATCAACAACATCACGCACGACCATCACCTCATCAACAACAACATCACGCACGGCCACCACCTCAACAACAACAACATCACGCACGAACACCACCTCAACAACAACAACATCACGCACGGCCATCACCTCAACAACAACAACATCACGCACGGCCATCACCTCATCAACAACAACATCACGCACGGCCATCACCTCATCAACAACAACATCACGCACGGCCATCACCTCATCAACAACAACATCACGCACGGCCACCACCTCAACAACAACAACATCACGCACGGCCATCACCTCATCAACAACAACATCACGCACGGCCATCACCTCATCAACAACAACATCACGCACGGCCATCACCTCAACAACAACAACATCACGCACGGCCATCACCTCATCAACAACAACATCACGCACGGCCACCACCTCAACAACAACAACATCACGCACGGCCATCACCTCATCAACAACAACATCACGCACGGCCATCGCCTCATCAACAACAACATCACGCACGGCCATCACCTCATCAACAACAACATCACGCACGGCCATCACCTCATCAACAACAACATCACGCACGGCCACCACCTCAACAACAACAACATCACGCACGGCCACCACCTCATCAGCAACAACATCACGCACGGCCATCACCTCAACAACAACAACATCACGCACGGCCACCACAACAACAACAACAACATCACGCACGGCCACCACAACATCAACAACAACATCACGCACGGCCATCACATCAACAACATCACGCACGGCCATCACCTCATCAACAACAACATCACGCACGGCCACCACCTCAACAACAACACAACATCACGCACGACCACCACCTCAACAACAACAACATCACGCACGGCCACCACCTCATCAACAACAACATCACGCACGGCCACCACCTCAACAACAACAACATCACGCACGACCACCACCTCAACAACAACAACATCACGCATGGCCACCACCTCAACAACAACAACAACATCACGCACGGCCATCACATCAACAACAACAACATCACGCACGACCACCTCATCAACAACAACATCACGCACGGCCACCACCTCAACAACAACAACAACATCACGCACGACCACCACCTCAACAACAACAACATCACGCACGGCCACCACCTCAACAACAACAACAACATCACGCACGGCCATCACATCAACAACAACAACATCACGCACGGCCATCACCTCATCAACAACAACATCACGCACGGCCACCACCTCAACAACAACATCACGCACGACCACCACCTCAACAACAACATCACGCACGGCCACCACCTCAACAACAACAACAACATCACGCACGGCCATCACATCAACAACATCACGCACGACCACCTCATCAACAACAACATCACGCACGGCCACCACAACATCAACAACAACATCACGCACGGCCATCACCTCAACAACAATGAACCCAACACCGGACCCCACCATTGACTTCCACCATAACGCTCAGCCTGAGCCCCCCCCTCCACCTCCCCCACCCCCCTCCTCGCCCCCCCCCTCCACCTCCCCCACTCCCCTCCTCGCCCCCCCTCCACCTCCCCCACTCCCCTCGCCCCCCACTTTCTCCTCCATCCTCCGCGCCCCCCGCGCTCATCACTCGCTCAGTCTCCCCTCGCCACGCAGAGCGATTCTCTCTGTTTGTTCGCGTCACGCCCGCCACTCACCGCTCTCTCTCTCTCTCTCTGCTCTCCCCCCTCCTCTCTCCGCCGCCCCTCTCTCCTTTCACACACCACACCGCACACGCACCTCCTGCAGAAACCTTCTCTCCCTCGCGCACGATAACGCACACACGCGCACATACACACACACGCGCGCACACACACGCGCGCACACACACGCGTGCACAGACACGCGCACACACACACGTACACACACACACGCGTGCACACACACACGCATGCACAGACACGCGCACACACACACGTACACACACACACGCGTGCACACACACGCATGCACACACACACGCATGCACAGACACGCGCACACACACGCGCACACACACACGCACACACACACGCACACGAACACACGCGCGCACACACACGCATGCACAGACACGCGCACACACACGCGCACACACACACGCACACACACACGCACACGAACACACACGCGCGCGCACACACGCACACACGCGCGCGCGCATGTGCAGAGACACAAGACAAAGATCTCCCCCCAAGTGTAGTCTTGAACAGACTGTTGGGGCGAGTGCTGTTAGCGAGCACCTATGAAGGCCGCCACGGCACACGAGGGGGTGGGTGACCAGCACCACGCCCGACCGCCTTTGTCTCCCCCAGTGGCGATGTTTTACACACCGCACCAGGTACTCATTTGAGGCTGAATCGACTTAGGGGTGGGTCAAGGACCCGTTCAGATAGTCGTCACTGGTGTTGGCCGTGGACGAAAATCGAACCCGGGTCGCCGGTTTCGTAGCGCAGCGCGCTAACACCGACACGGACGCAACGTGGCCAGCACCACGCCCGGCCGCCTTTGTCTCCCCATCGCTGATGTTTATACACTGCACCTGGGTAACCTCGTTTTAGGCGAGAGACGCCTAGAACCGGCTCAGATATTGCTCTCCACCGATGATAATTATCCGTGGCCAGGAATCGAACTCGGCGTTCGCCGGGTTAGTAGTGCGGTGCGCCGCCGCTCCCCTCGAGAGCACACGCGCGGCTCTCCGCTCTCTCCTCGCGGAGTCGAGGGGCGAGAGATGGAAGTAGCTCGCTCATCTCGTCAAGCCAACTCCGGTCATGCTCGCAGCGGCTTTGTCTGGCCATCGAACAAAGGCGGCGGTCACCGCATCGCTTATGCGGCCGTCTGGAACGCTCTTCCTTCCGATATTGGGAAGCCACTGGAGCCATGCACGTTTCAAGTTATTTTCTTTATAACAGTTTTTTGTGTTGAGTTATCCTTCCCCCGCATTTTTGATTAGCACGATGGGCTACGTACGGTGCGAAAGAAGTTGAACATAGATACGGCTCGGGGCGTGGGCGATGGAACGGAGCTGCCACGTCCAGGGAACAGGGGTCCCCGTACCCCGCAGGGCACCGCGTCGCGAGCTACGAGAAATGGTGAAATCACGCACTCGCCGACTCACCAACTCACTCACTCATCGACTCACTCGTGCACCTAGTCAGCAAATCACTCACCCATTCATGAACTCGCTCACCCATTCAGCAACTCACTCACCCATTCATCAACTAACTCACTCACTCACCTGTTCATCAACGAACTCACCCAATCATCAACTCACCCATTCATCAAATCACTCACCCATTCATCAACGCACTTACTCACCCATTCATCAACTCACTCACCCATTCATCAACTAACTCACTCACTCACCTGTTCATCAACGCACTCACCCAATCATCAACTCACCCATTCATCAAATCACTCACCCATTCATCAACGCACTTACTCACCCATTCATCAACTCACCCAACCATAAACCCACTCACCCATTTATCGAAGTAATCAATCACTCACCAACTCGCTCACCCGCTCATCAAATCATTCACCCAATCACCAACTTACCCAATCATCAACTCACATTTATTGGGCGACGTTTCAGGCGACGACCCTTACATAGCGCACGATGATTAGAGAGGGCCAGCCGTAGTGAGACGGAGTGGATGTTGAGGGTTGGACACTGCTCGTATTTACATCACGGGGCCCGATGAGAATTACATTTAAAACATTAATATTGGCAGTGGTACACGTGCACAAACAACAACAACAACGCAACCTCGTAGTAAAATACCGTATAATAGGCGACGTTTTGGGCAATGGCCTTTCTTCGTAGCATCGCAGAAACATGCTCCACGGAACACGTTCGCGTATGTGTGTGTGGTGGTTTTTTTTTCATCTTTTAAGGCCACGGTGTTATTGGCGAACGTGGTTCGTTTTATTTATTTGCTTTTTTTGTTGAGTGGGAGGAGGGGGGAAGGCGGTGGAACAGGATGGAATATTTCATTTGAAATAAACGATTTGCGACAAACGTGTACGCGTGTGTGTGTGCGCGTGTGTGTGTGCGCGTGCGTGTGTGTGTGTGTGTATGTGTGCGTGTGTGTTTACGTGTGTGTGTGCGTGTGTGTGTGTACGCGCGTGTGCGTGTGTGTGCGTGTGTGTTTACGCGTGTGTGTGCGTGTGTGTGTGTGCGTGTGTGTGTACGCGTGTGTGTGTGCGCGTGTGTGTGTGCGCGTGCGTGTGTGCGTGCGCGTGTGTGCGCGCGTGTGTATGTGTGCGTGTGTGTTTACGCGTGTGTGTGCGTGTGTGTGTGTACGCGCGTGTGCGTGTGTGCGTGTGTACAGGGGGAGCGGTAGTGGTCAGCACCGAACCCGGCGAGCCGGGTTCGATTCCCGCTCACGGCCAACACCGGTGACGATTATCTGAACCGGTCCTGGGGCCTCCCCTAGGTCGACTCAGCCTGAAATGAGTACCTGGTGCGGGTGTGTAAAAACATCGCCACTGGGGAGACAAAGGCGGCCGGGCGTGGTCCTTGCCACATCACTCCCTCGTGTGCCGTTCCGGCCTTCATAGGTGCTATTCGCTAACAGCACTTGCCCCAACAGTTTCTGCATGTTACACGGGGGATCTTTGTATTTGTCCTTGTATGTGCGCTCGTGTGTGCGCACGCGCGCGCGTTCCTGCTCTCTCATTGTTTGTTTTAATTAGGCCGATAGCAGCGACGAATCCTCACGGCCGTGGCATTCATTGTGCGGCAGTCAGCCACGTGGTCGCATTCACAGAGACACGGGGCGGCGGACACAATTCCGGAGCGGCGGTAGGAGCGGCAGCAGCAGCAGCAGCCTCAAGGATGTTCCACCTCCTCCTCCTCCTCGCCGGGGAGCGAGAGAGAAAGGGGGATGGAGAGAGAGAGAGAGAGCGTGAAAAGAGAGATGAGCGATAGAGAGCAAGAGAACGGGGGTATGGGGCGGGATGGGAGAACGAGAGAGCGAGAAGGAACGAGGAATTGAGAGATAAAGGGAAGGAGGAGAGAGGAAGCGAGGGAGTGAGGTGGAGTGAGGGAGTGAGGTGGAGAGAGAAAACATAAGGGGAACATAGACATGGAGTAGGGAGAGAGGAGGTAGAGAGAGGGGTAGAGAGGGGTAGAGAGAGGAGGTAGAGAGAGGGGGTAGAGAGAGGGGGTAGAGAGAGGGGGTAGAGAGAGGGGGTAGAGAGAGGGGGTAGAGAGAGGGGGTAGAGAGAGAGGGAAGGGGTAAGGAGAGCAGAGTGTGAAATCTTTTGTGAAATCTTTCATTAAATAGGGGGGGGGGGGGGTAACGTAATAAAGCAAAGCATAACAAAAACCGAAATGATGAACGAAGCAAAGTGCCGACTACACCGAGCATCTTCTTGTTTCCTCTGATCGTAAAAAAGAGAGAGACACAGAGGGAATGTTAGAAATAATAAAAGTGGACGAGAGGCAGAGAGAGAGAGCAAGAATGAGAGGGAGCGAGAGAGAGAGTGAATGAGAGATCTCGGGAGAGAGTATTGTACAGCGATAGAGCGAGATGAGAGTGAGAGTTGGGAGAGTGAATGAGAGAGTGCGCAAGAGAATGACAGCGAGAGAGGTAAAGAAAAGAGGTTCGCGGTTCGAGCCCCACGCCCGCCCTGGTTAATAGTGCGGGCGTGTGAACGGTAAATACGACTACGCGATAGCTGGCGACGTTAAAGATCCCATGAGTAGAAGGGCATTGTCCGCAAATTTGCGCGCGTTATAAATTGCATTAGTATTATTATGTACCTACGCCATGATCTAAATTTTAAAAGTTTCACCGCAAAATTAAAACTAAACACATTTTTTTTTTATCAGATAAGGCCCACTGAGTCTCTGCACTGTAACTCGTTTTAAAAAGCGACCTGGTCACAAATGATAGCTCAACGAAGTGGCTTATTGTCACGTGGACATTTGTAGCAGCAGTGTCACTCTGAAATGCACGATGATTCTAAATGTGGAGGTAAAAAAAGCGGAGGACCCGGAGAAAAATCCACGTGACCACCGGGAGAACGAGACACGCAAACTTCAAATATACAACAGGCGTTAGGCTCGGGATCGAACACACGTACTCCTGCATACCAGGCGAGGTAGTTAACATCTGCTATCCACCGCGACGCACCAATTAGGGGTGTCATTCCCAAATAAAGTTATCCCTGGCCACGTGTCATGCCCAAAATCAGGAGTTTCGGACAAGAATCGACAAATATAATAGCTCTTCTTGGTTCTTTCGGTAAAGTCACGTAGAAGGGAAATAATAAAATAATAGAAATCAAATAAAGTAATATAATATATGTTTTATTTTTATTATTTTATTATTTCCCTTCTACGTGACTTTACCAAAAGAACCAAGAAGATGAATCCCTGCAGTCACGAATATTCCAAAGAACACAGGATGAGATGTTACTATCCTT